CTGCTGTTTCACTTGGCACGCGCATCCAATCGAAATAATGGCGTCGACTATTAATATTATCCATATGGGCGGTGGGAAGTAGAACGCGAAATTGATTAGTTTTGAGTAATTATGAAGTTATAAAATAACGAGACGTATAAATTGCTTTTGAAAAGTAACGTTTTTTCATTTCTTTATTTAGATTTTTTTTTATTTTGTAATTTAAGTTTTATTTATATTTTGTTGTTTGAATTTTTGTATTATTTACCTTTTTATATTTTTTTTAATTTTTACTTATTATTTTTTAATTTTTACTTATTATTTTTTAATTTTAATTTATTATTTTTAACTTTTTTTCTTTAAATTTCTATTAATTTTACTTTTACATTTTTCTGTTTTTGGTTTTTTATTTCTTTATTTTTTTGTTTCTTTTTGTCTCTTTTTAAGTTTTAGTTTTCGTTTAAAGTCTTCTTATAATTTAAATTAAAGATGCGACAGTACATATCTGTTTTCTTAATTTTAAGTTTTAATATTTTTCTATTCTTATTTAATTATTATTTTTTTTTTTTTTTTTGCTGCTTTGTCATTTCTTTCTATTCTTTTTACTTTTTTAATTTTTTAAAATCTTTTTTATATTTTTTCTTTTAATTTTTTTTTTTATTATTTTATAATTTTTTTTTTAATTTTTTATATTTTTTTTCATAAATTTTTCTAATTTTTTATTTTTCCCTGTTATCTTACGTTTCTTAATTAAACTTTTTTAATTTCTTATTTTCTTATTCTTAAGTATCTTTGTTTTTATTTTTTTTTTCTTTAATTTTTTGTTATTTATGTTTCAGTTCTTAAGCGTCTGAAGTTTATTTATTGTGACTTTGACTAGCCACACCTTTGTACTTATGTATAAATACGTATGCATTAAGTATATACATATATACAACAACAATAACAACAAGAAAACATAGCTCAAGGTCATAGCAGAAGAAGAAAGCCGGTTGCAGTCTGCCAACCACTTCTCATGGCACTTAAGATAGCGGCAAACATTTTAACCGTTGAAATTGCTGTCTATTTATATAAATAGCTGGTTTTCTTTATCGTTTTTTAATTTCAACTCCCATAGCAATTAATTATAAAGTGATGCGCCTTTAGCGTCTGTCGCATGACAATTGCTGATTTATTCATCGATTCGCTTAACATGAGATCAACTTTTATTGGTTTTATAATTTCATACGTCTCTCTCTCTCTCTCTTCTCTCTCTTTGTCTTACTCTAAGTGAGAAGATGTGTAATGCATAAAAGTATCAATTAATTTAGTTTTAATTTTATTTTTTTTTTCCACAAAAAATTAAAACACATAGGTGTCATACACTGCTTCGTCGGTTCTGTACGAGTAAATAACAAAAGACTTAAGCGACAAACTGGATACTCAAGAGGAACAAAAATTGGAAAAAATATAGTTTTTTTGTGAGAACTTATTTATATTATTAATAAAACTAATTTCTAACGTAAATTTTCAATTACTTCTCCGAGCTGTTTAAATTAATTTATATATATTAATAATAGTTAAAAAATAATAATTATTAAAAACTATATTATATTCTTCTTCCATCTTTTAAACTTTCTGAAAACGGTAAAAAAAATATTAAGGGTTGCTGTAAAAGGAATTATTATTTAATTATGGATATTTAATTTATTTAATATGGATATTTTTAATTATTTTTTAATAAAACAATATATAATATGTGTTTTTATTCAAGTTTTGAGATTTAAAACGCCTCGTATTAAATTTTTTAAATAATTACTCCGTATCTGGATTTAATATTTTTTGTTCATTTTTTACCTTGCAATTATTTTATGAATTTATCGTAAAGAACATTTCTATTTTAATTGTTTTAAATTATTCAAATGTAGTAAAAAAAAACTTTATATAAAATTAAATAGAAAATAATTAAAGTAATTTTACAATTGCAATCTTTAGTTATATTGAAGAACATTTTGGTTTTGAAAATTAGAAAAAACTATGAAAAATATAAAATTTCATTAAAAATAATTTCAATTTTCAAAAAAAAAATTATTTCAATTCAAATATTTATGCAAATTCACACCGCACGCATTGTAGCAGATTTAAACAAAGCCAAAACTATGTCACCGGAACTAGTTTCTTTGCATCATCAACAAACAAATAAATCTTTTGTGTAGACAAAAACAACAACTGACTTAATTTTGCCGGCTGTCAGTTATCAATCATAGACAATACAAATGTGACAAGAAAAGTAAACAAAATTTTGAGCTTAAGTTACCCAAACAATTCGTAGACATAAAAGCGTCAAATACATGCACACATTTATGCATATACGTGTATACATATGTAATCAATAGCATAAAATGTGTTTTAAAAATTAAATAAAAAATTTAGCTTTTTTATTTTAACGCTAATTTGACAAGATTGACACAACAATCATAATACACTTGCACATACATACATATATATCTGCAAATATTGCAAAACTGTCGGCTTTTAATAAAACAACTTCATCATAACTTACAGTCTCGGTTAAAGTCTTTTGTTTGAAATTTTTACTTAAATATAAATTTCATTATTTTTTCAGATATAAAAATATTTTCGAAAATCTACCATAAATTCCTTAAAATCTCTGGGCTTTGATAATTGAACAATATAAATGTTTTTTTTTCTTAGCCTCAAAAGAATTTATGGTGCACATTTTTGTAAGCGCAAAAAAAGATGAAAATAAAGAAAACCAAAACAATGCGCACGAGTACTGCATATGTATGCATATATATGTATGCATATATATGTATGTATGTATGTGTGTTGCACAAGTGTTTGTATGTCAGTTATCTCACAGTAAAATATTTGTAAAGCAGCCAAGTTGAACGAAGAAATAACAACAAATGCTAAATAGAGTGCACAGGTATTTTTCTTGGCTGTTGTTGTTGTTGTTGTTGGTGTTGTACATATTTTTGTACTGGACCGCAAATCTCGTCAAGCAATGCGCTTGTTGTTTCATTTTTCATTGCAATATGGCAGTTGTTGTTGTTGTTGTTGTTGTTGTTGTTGGTGTTTGTTGATGTCTTCTAGCACGTTGAGCCGCGTTTTGTTTGTTAAGCGTTTATTACATTCAAATTTAAATTTTTTTTAAATTTATTCGGATGGTCAAGGTTAGGCAAGGCAACTGTTGTTATGTTAAGTTATTCTTTTATGCTACTAACTAATCATAACATAAGCTGCTTTTGTGTGCGTTTAATATTGCTAAAATTCTGTTTCAACTTTTAAAAAATATATGACGGTAAATCTGAGTAAACAGCAAATTTCATTAAATCTACTCCAAACTCTAGATGTGGTTGATTTGAAAACAGAAAATTTAAAATTAAATTAAATTAAAATATGATAAATTAATGTAAAATAAAATTAAAAAAATTAATAAAATAAAATAATAATACCAATAATAAAAATAAACGAAAAAAATAAAATGAAAAAAGAAAGATAAAGTAAATTAAATAATAGCAAAATTTTAAAAAATGTAAAAAGTAAAGAAAAATAAATAAAATAAAATCAAGTAAAAAATTAATCTTAACTATAAAATATAACTGAAGAAAGCACAAAAGGTAATATATAACAAACGATAAATTTCGGTAATTTCAAAAAAAAACTATATATCAGGTGTACAACTTTGCTTCCGCCGTTTTTTTCCAAATTTAAAAGCTTTATTGCAAAAAAGTGCTTACAGATATATTATTTAAAGTATTGTCCTTCGCTAGCGACAATTTCTCCCATCTTTCCGGCAATGTTCGGACCCCGGTTCGAAAAAAGGAGTCCTCTTTTGACGCTATCCATGAAGCAATCCATTTTTCCAATTCTTCGAAGGATTGAAAATGTTGATCTGCCAGGCCGTGTGCCATCAAACGGAATAGGTGGAAGTCAGAAGGGGCGACATCTGCGCGACTAAGGCGCATCAGTTGCGTTCGGTGGCGATCTCCTGTGATGGCTTCACCCGGTTATAAGAGCTCTTAGTAAATCTTTGAAGGTTTTTTCTCTTCCACCATCATGTTTGTCTTCGACATCGAAATCACCATTTTTAAAACGTTGAAACCACTCCCGACACGTTCTTTCACTCATAGCAGTATCACCGTAAGTTTCTGAGAGCATTTGATGCGCTTCAACTGCATTTTTTTTTCGAATTGTAACAGAAAAATAAAACTTCCCGCAAATGGCGAAAATTAGGCACATAAACGGACATTTTCGAGCGTGAATAATACGAAAACAAGAACAACTGTCGCTGAAACGGCGATGACAATTCGTTAGGCAGTGTTCACACTCACTTTAAAGGCATTATCATCTATGTATTTCAATCAGCCTCAGCCGGTACAGCCACCTATCGGAAAACGGCGGAAGCAAAGTTGTACACCATAAAAATGTGGAATTTGGTTGCGCATTGGTGCTGAAAAATATCAGAACCGATTTGTGCAGATATTAGATTTTGGACGACGCGAAAAATCATCGGAGGGCAGAAGCAAAGTTGTACACCTGATAAATTAAAGTAAAGCTAAATAAAATTCAACTAAAGTAAGATTAAATCAAATTAAATAAAGTAAAATAAAATCGATTAAATAACATAAAAATCAAAATAAAACAACAAGAAAAAATAAATTAAGATAAAAAGAAATAATATAAACAATAAAGTCAATTATAAATTCAATGAATAAAATAAATTAAAAAAAAAATTTAATTATAAATATAATTAGTTTTATTACTTTATGAATGAGTAAAATAGAACAAAAAATAAATAGAGTAAAGGAGAAAAAAAAATAGAAAGAAATAAAAGTAAATTATTATAAAAGAAGAATTTTCTTCAAATAAAAATATTCAATGGCGCTTAATGTGTATATTGAAAAAGAAGTAAAAATAAAAATCGAAGAGTTTTCATTTTTTATCACAAATGATGAGCTTATTATATAAATATATGTACGTAAAAACTAAACATATTTTACATTTCTGTTTTTCAGTTCCAAACGGCACGCGAAAAAAATATGAGCCATTTTGCGAACACAAGTTAGTGGAGAATAAGATTTAAACATTTCGAAAAGTTTTCAAAAAAATTAGTGCAAAAGGAACAAAACTAAAAAATATGTTATTCACGAGCACCAACACTCACACCCAAAACAGTCTAAGACTGCACTACACAACGCTGTCCCTGACATTTATCCTCATTGCACTACTCATCTCGTGCATCCAGCAGATCAACGCCGCGGATTATGATGTAAAAGGCGGCGGCGGCGGCGGCGAGCTGGGCTCCACTGGCGATGGTGGCGGCGGCGGTGGTGGTGGCGCTGATAGTGAAGTGGCGAACGGTGATGACGAGATTTATGAAACGTCCGTACTACAACAGGATATGGATGAGCATGAGAAGCGCAAGAAACTAGTCGAAGAATTGGAGGATGACGAGAAGGAGCATGTCAATACACCAACCGTCACAGCGCCGCCACAACCTTATGAAATGAGCAACGAATCAATGAACACAATTAAAGCGGAAGCGCGCATGGATGATATAATGATGGACTCGCAAGAGATTGAAATGATGGACAGTAGTACATTGATGAATGGCAATGCAGCTAAAACGCCCTTGGCATTGCCGCCAACCGTATTGCCCAACTCAATGAGCACCATGATACCCGCTTATGTGCGCAAAGGTAAGGCAGAGCAATTTCCGCGCACGATAAGTGGTGGCAGTGTTTCGGTGGAGGAAGCAGATGCCAATGTCTCAACATCCGATTATGTAGAGGATGAGGAGCACATCAATATGCGCACACCAAAGCAATCAGATAAAATTGATCCAATCGCTATGAAATTATATCATCACACCGACGCTGATGCGGAGGACAATATGTTAAACGATCAGCAACCGGCGCCACCTGCTCAACAGCGACAGCAGCAGCGCAACCGTCAACAAGGTTACGACGATGCGCCAGTACCGCAGCCAAGAAAACAACACTTACATCCCAATAGCTCCGATGAAGACTACTATGAGGATCCACAGGATAGTTTGGAAAAGCAACAGCTGCATCAGCACAAGCTGATGCGACCAACCGGTGCACCCGCACTACCTCTCACACCTATACCACCACTCGCTCCTGTGGAGCCGGCAGCACCAAAAGACAACGCGAATGCGGCACGACGTGTACAACCGGCTATTGCGCAGGCACGTGCCGGCGTCGCCTGGACTACAAATGGTCCACTAATGGACGTCAACGTCACACCAGCCACTGCGACAATACCGGTATACGGCGAGAATGCAATCGATGCTATCACACCAAGCTCGGCCACAACCGCCAGCTCGGCCTTAGCAGCAGGTTACGATACAGAATCAGCTGCAGCTGCTGTTGCCACCCCGACTACAACACAAACGCCAACCACTACCACTACCACTACTACAACAACAACATCAATTATAACAACAATACGCCCTGCAAATAAACAAGGCAAACAAATAAATATTCCACGCGGTCGTAAACTGCTGCCACACGAACAATTACGCAATTACATTGAAGATGCGTACATACGTATGCCGCTAGCCGTCATTGTTGATCCATCCGCAGATGCGCTGGAGAAGACGAAGGCGCTGTGGCGTGAAGCGCTACGCACAAATCTAAATATAAAAATCGTTTTGGTCTCGCTGAATGCCTCAGGTGAGTAAATACATTCATTTGCGTATACGTATGTATTGTACATACATACGCACAGCCTAGCCTACATTGTAGTAATATGATTAGTGTGTTTGTGCGCATGTTTGAGTATGTAAAACCATGTTGAGGTTGAGTGATTCGTGTATTTGTAAATATGAATGGGTTATTGCGCCAGATTTTAATGGCAATAAGTCGAGTGGCATAGTGTAATGGCTTTTGATGATGTGCTTAGTGAGTAACGGTGATGGTGACGGCTGTCAAAAATTTCCGAAATTCCGAAATCCATTTCGCATTTACATAACATTTCATATGCGTTATAATTGTCACAATTACAAGCTCATTCCAAGCAAAAAGGAATTAAACTGAATAATCTGACTTAATTTTCTCTAAAACCTAATAAGCTCTCATGCCGTTTTCTGATTATTGTATGATAGCTATTGCGATTGATCTTTCTTCTCAAGAACTTAATGTGATATTGAATGAAGATAGGGTTTCTAACGAGATTCCGGGACAAACCTTTTGGAACTAAATAAAAAGGCAATCCGTGGTGTTCAATGGGTCAATGCCCCGTTTGTATGAGAGTCGAGCGGTAGTTCGAGCAAGCATGGATCGGTTTCGCACCACGTTTATTCTAGTAAATAATGCGCATCTTCAGAGTTGCACCGCTGCTGTGTAGCAGAGTATCGAAGAAGGCTCAAATGAGTCCATGCGCAATCGCACGCAACAATTGGAGGATTTTACGGAAGTACTTTAGTTTGTGAGCTTACAAAATCCATCTCGTCCAAGGATTGAAGCCGAACGCCCAACAAGCACACCGCACGTTCGATGAATGGTTCCAAAACGAGATGGCCGCCGATCCCGGTTTTCACAAGTAAATTTTGTTCAACGATGAAGCTCACTTTTTGTTTGTTTGAAGGGATACCTTAATAAACAAAACTGTCGCATTTGGAGCGCTGATAGTACACAAGCTATTGCTAAGACGTCGTTACATCCACAAAAGTGACTATTTGGTGTGCTCGATGCGCAGAGGGATTAATTGATCAATATTTGTTCAAAAATTATGCTGGCTGAGTAACATTATGGCCAATGGGGGACGCTATAGAGCCATGATTAAAAACTTTTTCATGCCTGCATTGAAGCATAATTAATGTGGATGACTTTTGGTTGCAACAAGGGGACACTAACTGTCTTTTATTAAAATAAACTTTTGGTAAGTGAGTGACGTAGGCTCCCAGATCGTTCGATTTAACTCTGCCGGACTATTTTTGTGACTTGTTCACCCGCCTTGCTGCAAAAAGCGGTCGAAAAAATTGGGCCTCTGAGCTGGAATTTATTCGAACCAGCCACGGCGGTCACTGAAAATCACAGAATTCGGAAAATATCAACCGCCAACCAATTTTTTTCTGATATGATATTTAATCCTAAAATGAAGGGTTTGAATTTGATACGGGCATAAAAGGTATAAAGAGTTAAGCAGCTAATTTTTAAATTTAATTTCATCTAAATGAATTATTGAATTATTTATTGCTTTATTATTATCATATTGTAGGCGTACCAGCCGCTTATAGTTTCAATAACACCCGCCAATTTCTCGCCGGCTTGAACAGTATCAAGGTGAAAGATGGCGGCAATTCATTTGTGGGCATTGTGCATGCATCCGAATTGGTGCCCTACGACAGCGCCGTTTTTATATCCACTGCAGTGATACCACCACACACGGAGTTGGTGCAAGATGCAGCTATAACGCTGCTGAAAAAGCGCATTAGGGTTAGTAAAAATTAAAAAAAATATATATATATAATTATTTATTAATATTCTTGTTACTATTCTTTTAAAATTTTTAATGAAAATAATTGCAAATATTCATTACGCTCAACACAGCTATATCTCATCTGGTATGGCGAGCGTTCGGCAAGCGAAAACGAAACGCAAGAGGCTGTCGGCGGCATACTCGGCGAGGTGGCCATACGCTCGGGCGGCGAAGTGCTACATCTTGTGGGTAGTGAGAATTCACAAGAGCTGGAGGGCAGCACGGTAAGTTTCTGGTTTACGAGCTATCAAGCCGCTTAGCGATAAGCTTGTGTGTAATAATTAAATATCGATATGCTTGTAGCGTTTAATTAATTTATTTATTGATCGTTTGATTGATAGATTGAAAACGAGTTAGCAAATGTAACATCGCGAGTGTTTTTATTTATTTATTTATTTTTATTTTATTTTTATTTTTTTTTTTAATATTTTCTAATTAATGCTGCCGTCTCTTTGCACTGACTTCTTTCTGGTCAGCCCGTACGATTTAGCTTAATTGCGACTTGTAATTATTATTGCTTATACAATGCTTGTCAGCTGGCTGCCTGGTACTTTAGTTGCTGCGCGCACAAATAGTCGCTTTTTATGAAATTACAAAACAAGTACATACAAGTTTTCAAATACAAAATTTATTAAAAGTTGTTGTCGCCATCATTATCGTTATCGTGAAACGTAATGAAAATGGCGTAAAACTTGTTTAAATGCTAAATAACGCCTGTTAGCCGACATTAATGCTTGCATGCCACTGCTGATGATCGCCGACGAGTTGCGGTTGCGTATTCGAAAACTTGTGCAGTTTTAATGGCAGCCGCAAAGTAGTTTTGACTTGGCCGAGCACTGGTGGAGTTTTCAAAGTAAAATAATTTCAATATATTGCTTTCAATTACTTGGTATCGAATTTCAAAACTCAGAAAATATTTTTTTTTTTTGACAAGTAACGTTTAACCATAAATGGTTTCAAATTTAAGTTGAATTTTTTTTTGTTATGAAACTTGTCATTTACGAATTTGGCATCATGACAACCCAGCTTAGGCCAAAATGCAAGCAAAATCAGCTGCTGCTTCCCCCGTTGATTTCCCGTAAAATAAGAATCCCAAATTTTAATGCGGTTAAAAATGTTGCGGACAATGAAGCACACACAAGTGATGGAGTGCTTTACAGCTTCCAAAGTAGAACTTGTTTCCAGTTTTATCTCACAATTGGGATCACCTGTTTGATTTCGTTCCTCATTTCGGTTGGCTAATTCTGAACGTACTTATCAGAGCAAAGTGGCCGCATCATCCAAGTGGCGCGTACTACCTGCGTATATTTAAGATTACTCATTACTGCCGGGGTTATAGAGGTGAACTATGGGCTAGCTGAGTGGTCGACAGATGAGGGTAGAGCTGCAGGGCCAAACTTTCAAACTCTTTTTCCATCGCGAATTTGCCTCCAACACCAGAGAGCATTTTATTGCTCTCATATGCCGCTGGGTGTTCGATATTGGCGTCTGGCCAGGATACTAATAAATTATGTTTGAAAGTAACTCGCTATCTCGCCTATCTTTACCACTTCTTTACTGCGAAATCATCCACTACTCTTTTCACCAGCTAGATGAAGGAGCTCTTACAACTTAAAGTTACTTCGTTTCCCCATCAGGAGTATCCTAGCAGACATTTACTTGATGCTGAACCTCATCCAGACACAACAGGAAGCGAGTAGAAGTCTGTACGAATTGTATTCAGCCAGGACGGCGTGCCCACATGCTTTAAACGTCATTTAATGAAAGTCTGTCCACACTTTCGAGCATTCTCTTCCGGTAAATAGAATTGTCTCGAGGTATCCAAGTAATACTGGCATAATTAGTATATCGATATTGTAGTCGACTTAATGCCTACATTAAATGATCTTGATCACTTAGACTACTCTCGCCTGCTTCTAAGGGGGATTACACTACAGCAGTAACAACAACAACAACAACAACAAGCTGTACGAGCTCATGGTATCGAACAATTACCAATGTCTAAAATTATAGAAAAATAATTTGAAAAAATAATATTCATAATCCATTAACCGTACAGAGCCGACTTAATATTAACCGTAGATTCCTCCATTTTTTGGGAAAAAAAACATCAAGACACATAGACGCAAATTGGAAGAGGAACTCCACCGAAGAGCGTTCTTGCTTAACATATTTTTTATAAAAAAATATTTTTCGCCAATAAAAACGGCCCATTTGTAAATTTCAATTAATTCTTTTTTTTTTGAAGAATTTTTTATATTAATCATTATTACTATTTTTTGTCTTTCGCGTTAAAATAGGGCTTAACGATCACGCATATACACACGTTGTAAACATTTCGTTAGATCAAACAATGTAGAGTAAAAATAAAAGATAAAAATAAAATGGTAATTAAATATGTTGTCATTTCAAAAAATCAACGCACCATGAAGTTGTTGGAAAAACGTATGAAATTGAAAGTGAAACGGTGGCTATAAAACATGCAAGCATGCATATTCTATTTACATACTAACATATATACTCGTACATGTGCTATAATGCTAGTTTTTCAAAGGTGTAAAAGCCAACATAGCACATACATACATACACCGCCATTGGGTAGAGCAAAGAATATGATATATGAAGTCAAAAGTGTTGAAAATGCGAAAAATAAACGCATACCAACATGTGCATACGAATATGTTATAAGCAAGTGTGTGCATATGTGTACGAATGTGTGTATAAAAGCGTAATGAATGCCATGGAAAACATTTTTTCTTCACTTTTTTGGTTTGGCATTCATTGAAAACCAGGTTATGGAACGACAACAAAGTGAAGGGTAGCACATCCAGTAACTGTGAAAAATGGCTTATGATTGTTGTTGACAATGTTTATTATTATTATTATTATTATTATTATTATTATTATTATTATTATTATTATTATTATTAAATTTTTTTTGTAACGCGCATTTTTTCATGTAATTTAAAAGGTTTAAACAGAGCAACGCAGACAGCGGAGAGCACAAGTTTTTAAATTAAATATATATATATATATATAAAAATATAATTCCATAATTTTTAATGCTTATTTTTATTCTAACACACAGCTAACACTAGTCGCTGATGCCTATGTGGGCACACAGGAAGTCGACATACCTGTCGATACGACGCTGTCGAGTTTACATGTCAAAATTGATGCACCCATGCGAATGGCTACGCTGGAAACGCCCAACGGTGGTTAGTTAACATACACGTATTCACAAACACACATACACATACACATCCGCACAATTACACGAATATGCACACCAACAATAATTAAGTAATAACTAATTTATGAAAAAATAAATAAATAAAATATTTTTAACTACATACATACAAATATATTTTACTAATCTTATAAAAAAAGAGAAAAAACAAAGCAATTTCTTTTAGCGCTCTATATCCTTTAACAATAACATTCAGCGTCTCTTAAAAACATTAAAAACTAATTTTTGTTTTTGCTACGCTAAATTTGTTGATTGCACATTAAACCGTTAACCTTCCAAATGTTTGCTATTCCATTACACTGTGAATTTTAGCTTTAAAATGAGAGCATTTCAGCATAATATTGTATTATTAAGTTTTAATGTTAACGATATAACTTTTACACTGTGAAACTTTTTAAAAGAAATTATTTATTTACGAAAAATAATTTAAAAACAAAAAAAACAAAAGAAATAAAAAGGCAGCGTGCACATCGCTTCAAAATAAATTTACTAAACATTATAACCGTTAAATGTAAATAATAAATGTATACACATATGTATGTATGTATGTATGTTTATTTTAAAACAACTTAATTAGTTTCTTATATGTTTTTGTTTAATATTTTATTTTGTATTTCGTATATCTCTCTGTATATACCGATGTACGTACGTACATACGTACCGTTATGTGTTGTGTCATTATATTTTTTTGTGTCGAAATTAATAGATTTTTATAAATATATTTTATATAAATAAACTTTATTGCAGTACAAACAGGTACAATTACATAATTTTTACATACAACTATTTACTAATATATTTTTACAAATCGTAAAAAATTAAGAAATATTTTTTTATGTTTAATCTGTATGTGTAAAATCTGTGTTTAGCTTTAAGTATGTATTATATATTAAAAAAAAATAAAATTTAATTTTTAAATTAAGTCATTAGTGAAATAAAAATTAATGTTTTCTTACTATAATCGTTATATAAATAGCTAAAGTGTTTTAACAAGTGTAAATGCTTCAAATGTACCCTGTTTTGTCCCGGAAAAGTAAGTAAAAAAATGCATAACCTCACAGGTAAAATTCTGCACCTTGTCCCAACTTTTAATAAATAATTACAACTAACTCACAAAAGCACATTATTGTTATAAATACATTGTTCATACATATAATTTCATTTAGATATGTAGCACGTACTATATTATTTACTCAGTTTTTCAGATAAATTTTATATTTTGGAGAATTTTGCAAACATTCCTTATTTTGTGTATTGTCCTATAACGTACATTCTATTTGATTCTCTTGTCTGTCTGTATGAAGCTATAAAATATTAAAGTCTCAGTTGCTCAGAAATTTTGGCTATAGAATTGCATTCGTGATTCGAGGTGTAGCTATTTGTTACAAAAACAACCTCCTAAGGTGTTAGATGAACGAGTATTAAACCGATTTATTCTTTATTTACTATTAAGTTGTGAAACTTCTTAAAAAATTAAAACATACACATTGTTTTTGACAATTAAAATATGCTACCAAAAGATGTTAAAACGTTGCGGAAGAAATTACGCACCCTACGCTGTGTGCGTTACACATACGCCCCGTGGCATACTGATATTTGTCAATGGCCAAGCGCAGGTAATAATGGCTCTAAAAGCGGGATTTTACATAGCAACTGACACCTGCATATTCGTATCATTTAATTATTATTTCATGTTTCACACTGGCATTATCTAATTTTAATCAAGCAAGACATCATTCAGGTACCTGTTAGCTGTGAAACTTTTTCAACACTCAACTCGTTTGGGCACACTTTTCACAATATTTAATACAGATCTTCAACAAACTTTTTCATTTATATCTCTGTGGTTTTATACACGCAGTTTATTTTGTTCACTATTTTACACAAAACAACTTAATTATACAAAAAATAAAACGTACACGAATACGATTTTGCAATGTTTTCGCTTTGTTTGAGGATTCACTAACAGCTGATTGAAACTAAGAAAAAAAACACGTAGTGTATATATGTCAACAACAGCTGACAAGTTCGACGGAGTTGCCACATAGAATTTTAAACGCAAAATAAAGGGCTACTCATTTTGTTTAGTGAAAACTTTTAAGCAATGTTTTCAGAAATGTGTGAATATATAAATATATAACTCGTTAAAATTTAAAAATAATGTATAGTTTCCAAATTTATAATTAATAGTCAAAGAATGAAAGCCAGCCATTGAATAAAAATCAAAAACTGAATCAAACTATTAAAAATTAATTTGATTTGAAATAAATATTTCAATTTCGTTAACATATTTATATTTTAAAATGACATAATTCCAATGTATATATAATTATTTATCAATGGCAAACACACACATACCTATGACTTCATCATTTAAAAAACATATGAATAACAATGTTTAAACTTTGAAATGTTTCATGACTCACATTTTTTGCGTTCTTCGGACTTTGAATCTTAATTATTTTATCTCTTTTCGCATACAACAGATATTAATTTAAAGAAGCTGGTAAAGTTTAAGTCACTTGTTCTCACATTTGGAGCGGACGATAGCCGACTAGATGCTTATGTGCCACTTAACAAACTGCGCAAAGCCACTGTTTACAAATTAAGAATAGTTCCAGAATCCTTAATCGAAGAGTATAGTGTATTTGTGCGCGCCGAACGGAAATCAGATTTATTTTTAGGTAAGTCAAACACGGCTATCGTAGTTATTAAAATAAAAATCTCGGAAATTTGTAATTCCTTCACGCACAAGGTCTAAATCGATACTAAATGTAATAATTCTACATAAATGAACTTAAAGATTTTGAATGAAAGTAGCTGGTCGGTTTCAAGACAACGACTAAGATGTGTCTGAATATTTGATAAGCATGAATAAATATATACACATATTATATATGTATATATATGCATGCACATATTTAAGTAAGCATTGATAACATGTTCACCCAATACTGACACGATTCAATGACACTCGAGGGGGAATTGCGGAACGGCAATAGAAATGTCTGTGACGTATTTCTGTATAGAAAATAGCCGATTTTGGATTCAAGCAAATTTTAAATGAAAGAGACAACCAAACTCTTAAAGACTATACTGCCTTAAGTACACAATTTATGTAATAATAGAACAATAAAAGGAAAAAAATATTTAGCGTGATAATAAATATTTACCTCATGAATGAGTATTTTCTAAAAAAAATTAAAAATTGGACCTTTGCGATGACAACTTTTTATTCATTTTGTAATAATAATGATAATGAATAAGAATAAAAAATAAAAATTAAACTACTGATATAGCCTGTAATGCGTCAGTTTAATTTACTTCTGACCTTGTTTTACCCAGAGCCCTTCCATACCAATTAACAAGTAAACTTTATTCTTCACTATTAATATTAAGTTTAACATTTCAGATGATCTTATCAAACGCTTCGATACGTATCTCATGCAAGGTCGCAGTACTTATCCCTTAAGTTTGTACGGATCACCACCCTTAATCGGTTTACCAAGAGCCTCCACTGTTGAAACTTTAAACACTCATAGTAATTTACGTTTGGAGAATGATGGGGAAATTAAATTCCCTTCCGCTGAAACATCAGTGGGAGGTGAGTCGCAACCGTTACCAAAAAAACAAGTAGAAACATTTTCCGAAACAGAAATACATAACAATCCAGTGGTAATACCTACAAACCATACAGGAGTGCCAACGTCAATCGTTAATTTAGACTATAATGGCGCAACGAGAAGTGCAACTGCTACCTTATTACAACGCGATGTAACTAAAATTGAAATGGGTCTACAATCGCAATTGCTCTTGGCGCCAGGCATGTTAGGAACATTAGACTTTGAGGTGACAAACACACGCACGGAGGCGATATATCACAATATACAGGTAGTGGACGAAAGACGGTTTCTATTGCGCCTCAATCCACAAAGTATTTTCCTTCGGTCTGGCGAAATGGCTAAAGTTATCGTAACAGTTTTAATACCGAATGGTACACCACTGGGAACCACAGACAAAATTACCTTCACCTGCCACGGTGGTGGTACATCATCGCTTTCGCTTAACTTGAAGGTGATAAGCTCAACTTTAGTTGATGGGCAGGTATGTTGAATACAATTAATTTGAACAACGACGTTAAATATATATATACTCTTTTACGATAGGATACGACAGCACCTTCCGTTTCCTGGATCTTCGGCAGCCGTTGTGAGAATGTCAATGTAGAATCTTCCAGCTGCGCGGAGCGCTTCTGGACGTTAGACATAACAGCTCAAGATTGGCAAACAGGAATTTTACGTTTACAAACAACACCCTCTGGTGGCTTGCTATATCGAAATAGCTATACCGTGGGCTCCACAGAGCCGTTAAAAGCTACTTATATAGCAACATGTTGCGAACCAAAAGTAGCGGTTACAGCATTCGATGTAACTGGCAATCAGCGTTCATACAATATAGATGTACGCGATCTTGTGCTCACTGAAGCATCTATAGCAGCCATAGTATTGGGTGTATTGTTGTTGCTATTATTAATTATACTATTAATTTGGGCAATTGTTTGGTGTTGTCGTAGACGTCAAGTTTCATTGGATTTGCCCACATACCGGTCACATTCAACGCGTAGCATGGAGTAGAATTGAAGTATTTAGATTTATTAGCACTTAATTTTATGCTCCATAATTGTATACTTCTATGTGCATTCATATTTACACATGTGTATATGTACATACGAGATAAAATAAATAATAAATAAACATTTAAAAATGGTAATTTTTTAAACCTTTAAGCGCAACAAGTTGCTATACCAAACGGAAATAAAAACTTACCTCGACTAATTGCCACCGGTGGCAATAGTAATGGCTTATTCGGAAAGTCATCGAATGTTAGCCCTGTAACTGATGCACTCAAGAGCGGATTTTTAACAACTGCGGAAGCTGGTGGATTTGCAATCAAGCTTGAGGCAGTAACTAAACTAGATGAAGGGGTTGTTGTTGAACGTGACGTGTCACCTTTCAGCTTGTCTGACATACTTCTTTGATGATGCCAAAAGCGCTCTTAAACACACAAATTTTACAATTTATTATTGTTTTACACACTTTAGTATAACGACAAAATCGCGTCTACAAAGGCTTGAAGAACATTCAAACAGCAAACAAAATTGATAAACTATAGATATTTGTGAAATGCAAAAATTCCGAATGAGGTGCAAAATAGCAACATTCAACGAATAAGCTTTTAGATGAAAGGGGTACACGGGATATAAAGCAATACAAAATAAGGCCGGAGGGAGGTAATACCACTGACGTTTTCCAAATTATTGATAAGCTACAAATTGTCAGAAGAAGAACAACAATAACTACCTTATCGACGAAGAGATGCCGCTTCCATCATAATAAATTGTTAAGACAAGTAAATATTTCTCGTATGTAATTTTATTTTGAATAATTTCCAAATTTTTGTAAGCGTTGTAAATACATTGAAATAGTCTGACCAAAAAAATTATAAACTTTTATTCAATAAAAATTTAAAAAACATACAAAGATTGCACGGCACTATCAGCTGACCGGCACAACGTGCTCTATAGCTAAACCACCGCCAACTTCAATTTATTGTATACACATTGGAAGCAAAAAATAAACATTATTGCCTGGATATTCTTCATTCAATAATATCTGAATTTGTGTGCTTTATAAAGAGGGGATATTAAATAGAACAGCGGACAATGGAAGTTGTTCAGGAATTACAAGAGCGTGCATTACCCGTCTACGAACAATTAAAGCGGTACAATGTGTGCGATGACAATGAGATCAGGTAATTTAAGCTTGTTATTAATCGTAAGAATCCAATTAACAAATCAAATTTTTAGTGATTATAAACAAAAACGAGAGTCGTTTGCCCTACAACTTACACAAAAGAGTGTTAATAGCCGCACTTATGTGGAATACATTATACTCGAACGTAAAATGTATCGCTTGATAGAGCGCAAAGAAGCCAACTTTAAAACTGAGTTAAGAGGCCTAAAGAACAATTTGATAAATCACATAACGAAATTGTACCGAGAATGTCTACAAAAATTTCCTGAATCCGAAGGTTTATGGAATCACTTCATAGAGTTCAGCAAACATTCCAATCCCATGCAAGTACTTGGTATCTACGAAAAAATGCTCACGGTAGAACACAACAAAAAATAATTTGTTTTTTAAATATACATATCTTGAATTTTTTTTATATAGTATCACGGCTCCAATGAAAAAAATTGGGTTGAAGCAGCACTCTGGGCCTTCAGCAATGATAGCGAAAGTCTTGTATGGCAAGATATTTGTACAAGGGGTCTACAACGCCATCCTAATGAAGAAATACTTACCAAAACATTGTTTGACCTCTTGGTATTTGTGGCACATAAGAGAGCAGAAGCTGGACAGAAACTTGATTATGAGAGCGCTTTAAGACAAGCGGAATGCGTTTATAGGAACAGTCGCACAACGATTACGAATTTAGACTTCTTTCTGGGCTTAGTGCGACGTTGTGAAGAATCTTCTTTTATTAATATTACAGCTCCACTACAGTTAAAGATAATCGATGATTTAATGGAACGTTACCCGTCACAAGAAAGACTTTGGGATTTCTTGGCGCAGCGTGAATTGCGAGGTTATACATTAGGTGATTTGAAAGAATATGCTAAAACAATAGAAGTCGACAAAGCAGACGAGACTCAAGACTCCACAGAAAATGGGGTTAATTTCATCAAACCTGTATTTAAGGATCGCACAATGAAGCAACGTATTGAATTATGCGCCAAAGTATACGAAACTGCATTAAAAACTGTAAGTATACATACATATATCAAAAATATCTCAACACATTAATCTTGATAAAATGTATTACAGCTGAAAACTCGAACCATTTGTCACAATTACATTAGTGCAATGCTAGTGGTAAATGAAAATAATGAGACGGATTTAAAAACAAGACGAAAGTACTTGGCGATGGCGCTAAGAATTGGACATGAGTCAGGTCTAATGAGTGAGGAACATTACTGCGTATTTTTGCGCTTATTAATCGTGACTGAAACTGGCAGGAAAATCGCTGAGTCGATTCTAAGCGAAGTTTGTTCTGCATATAAATCGGTGAAATTATACGAAGTATGGGTTTCGTATTATATTAGTCAAAACGATTCGGATATGGTAGAAAAAATCCACGCCAAAGCTGTTAAAGACTTAGGAGATAAGTCAGCACCCATATATGAATTGTCTATACAATATTTCAAAACACGATACGATGAAGACCGTTCCACACTTGAACGGCTATATCGTGATGCAATCAAAATGACGAGTCCGAAATTCGGCATATTTCGAGCGCAATATTTGGAGTTTTGTATGATTAATTCTCCCTTAGACAAAGTACGCAAAGAATACGATCATTTAAGTCAATTACCGCCACCATGTTTGAAATTGCATGAAAAAATGGCCGAAATAGAATCCCAGGTTATTTTAAGGGTAAGCAAATAGTGTAAACTCGTAGTATTGAAAACTTCAATAACTTGTTTTTACCTCTTTTTTTTGTTTTTGTAGACTAAAAAGGATACTGAACGACGGCGACAAGTGTATGAAAATATGGTTTTGCAGTTTGGAAAGGACAACACCTCAGTGTGGATGGAATATGTTCGCTTCGAATGTTCATATGGCGATAAGAATCGTGTAACACATATTTATGATCGTGCGAAAGCTACATTGAACGAGAATTTAGTATATCCATTCCAAATGGAATATGATCTAAAAAAGGAAAATTTTAAAGCTGAAGCAGATTAATTTATGTACATATCTAAAAATATGTAATGTGCGATTTTAAAAATTGAAATAAAATCTAAACATCCATATCTACTCATGCTTTGCTAATAAACCTCTAATTTATCATTTTAAGGAACAAAAACATTAAACTTCTCCTCCTATCTAACAATAGACGTGTAAATCGTCGATTGTTAATCAAATCAAATTTTTTCTGTTTTCATAAAGGCATCAAGCCCAAAGTCAATGTAAAGAGATACATATTAAATACATTCATTAAAATTCAGTTTTATATCCTACTGTTGCAACCGTAAAAATTTATTTCTCTTATTTAAATTACGAACAATTCGTAACATTCATTTAAAAAAAAATACTTAGCAATATTGGCTAAATTAATGCTTGTGATTTTAAAGATTATAACTACTCTTCATTCTACTGTAACACTTGTTCGGTTTTTAGTGAGCTTTCAGCAACAATTTTTGCTACTTTACGTGGTTCTTTTGCAAGGGTATTTGGGCATTGCATTTCCGTCCAACCAACGGGCACCATAGGGGGACCGTTTGGTCCGCTTTCGCTAGATGTTGCAACGACTACACCTAATTCGTTTTCTGCGGTACTCAGTTGGTAGCAGGACAACTCAGTTTGAGGCAACTATAGCAAAACAAAAAATGTCAGACACTTTGTTATATGAGTGTATATTAATGTTAACGTACCACTCTAGCTAGTATTACATCCCCTGGGCGAAATGATTTATACATCTCAACGCGGTCTTTCTCTGTAGCACGCACATCTTCTTTGCGCACTATTCCTCGATATGTCCGTTCAAGTATGTGATCACCAATGCATATTATGGAACATTTAGCAAATCGTTGGTTTACTTGCAGAACACGCGCCGTTATCACATCGCCTGCAACAGGTACAATAGTTTGGCTCCCAGCACATTTTACTTCTATATATTTACACTAGTTGTCAGAAATAAAAAACAAAGATTTATTTTGGTTTATAAAAATCCCTTGTATATATTCATCTTAATTTTTACCTTGTCCTTTTCTTTAACTTGTACAGTACCAGCCAACGTAGCGTATATGTATCCGCCACGTTCATAAGTGCCTTGACCAGTTACCGTGGTTTCTTCTGACAGACAAATTCGTTGGCCAGGTAGGCACAGGATCTCCCCATTCTCTGAATTACCGGAAGTCTCAGTGTTTGATTCAATTTCCATACTTTATTTTATTTGTGATCTGAACTAACTGCCTCCACAAAAATTTATTTAACATGCCGTACAGCTGTTTAATATTGTCAGTAAGGCAGTTATCAAATTACCACATTACCAACAATTCAGTTTGCAACATGTGTGTGTGTTTTCGGATTTTTATTCGGACAGTTTCTGATTTGCAATAAATTTTGCCAATTGTTTAGTGATAAGAGCTGGGAGTTAATTTATAGAAAGAATATTGGTTTACCAAAAATATTTTGTCAAAATCTTACCACGTTGATTTAAAAGGAAAAAGTTAAACTTTACGACATCAAAATTTTTTTTACTTCAAATCCATTGAAGTAAGTTTTTTTGTGGTTAATTTTCTTCATAACTCAGAATAACATTTTTTTGTAACTTTTTACAGTTCTTCTTTTTTACAATATTTTAGCTGCGCTTTCAACAAATATCCAAAACAAAAATGTCAATTACAAATACAGAATCTGAGTTATCTGTTGCTTTGTCTGGCATTGAATTGGAGGATCTACTTAGTAGGCACCGACGTGAACGGAAAGATCTCCAAGCCAAAATACAAGCGCTGAAAAAGAATGCTCCTAAAAATGACAAAAAGAAACGTAAGGAGGCAATGGAAGAAGTAGCTCGCATGGAAATTGATTTAGAGAAAAAGCAAGCAGCTGAGGTAGCGGCTTTAGAGGCCCAAAAGAAACAGCGAGAACAAAATCAAACACCTAATGCGCAAAATACAGCCGCAGATGATACGTTGTGTAATGGAGGAGATGAACAAAATACTGGTAATGCTACTCAACGTGTAACGAAAGCACAAAAACGACGTGATAAAAAGGCTCGTGAAGCCCTGGAACGAGAGGAAGATATTCGAGCTGCTGCTGAGGATGCGAAATACGCACCAAAAGCTGTGGAAGGACGTACTATACAAACAAAATTGCTAGAGCGACAATTAGCCCTACATAATATTCCCTCCGATGGTGATTGTCTCTACAATGCAGTGCGTCATCAATTATCTCAAAACGGACTTACTGCACATAGCGTACAAGAACTGCGAAAGGAGACCGCTAACTACATACGAGCACATAAAGATACATTAATATGTTATATGACAAACCCAAAAACTGGCGAATTACTTACCGAGGCGGAATTCGAACAATATTGCAATTCAGTGCAAAAAACACCGGCATGGGGTGGACAAATTGAACTTAAGGCTCTGTCATCAATACTAAAAGTTCCCATTGAAGTGCTGCAGGCGGAAGGGCCACCCACTGTACAAGGGGCAGACGAATTTTCTGGTCCTAATCTAATAATTACTTATCATCGACACATGTACAGTTTAGGTGAACATTATAATTCAACTGTGCTAATAGAAAAACAACACGCATAAACCAGAAGGGCTCATCTAATAAGACATAGTATTGCTTACACGTCCTTCAAAAAAAAATGACGAATTTTATTTGTACGACAAAATTTAATAAATTAAAATGTACAAATCGAAAATCTTTATTCTCATTCATTTTTTATATTTGTGCAAATTACCTAAGAATGAACATTAATGCAAATAAGTTTGGTTTGCTTTAAATAGTATTAAGTATTTAATCTTTGCCCATTTTCACAATTCCTACTTTGCCAAGTTAAAATAGAACTCTGAGGTCATAATATTTCAAGAATTTAGGTCAAACCGTTTACTTACAAGTTATGTATACCGAAGTATAGTGATACTAAAAGTCTTGTATATGCAGATGTAAATAAAACAAAAATTATTATGTTGTATTTATATCATATTTTAAAATTTTATAACCAAAAAAAGTTTGTATACATACATACATATATACGTTTGTTATTTTACATCATAATATTTAATAATTTTTAATAAAAATTAATAATTTATTTCAACTTTAAATTTACATTTGGAAGATTTGTTGTATTATTGTCAAAAATTACAATCAAAGTATTTAATTTATTTTTATTTATCAAGTAACTTGCACTTTGTGCAAATTTGGAAGAATGCATATTAAGTAGAATGCGTCATAGCAATTATATTGTTCAAAGCACAAGCATATTATTGTAAACTTATTCATATAGATTTAGTGAAGGATATTGTTTATAATTTTATGTCTGCAGCTCTAACATACAGGCACTTTCACATCCTCCACCAAGTAGGTAGCATCTCAATCAATTCTTCTTTTTACTATCAACACTTGTGGTTGAAGGGATTGATGTTTTGTTTTCGGATTTTTTGTGTTCCAACGTTGATGGCGTATGCTGCACCGACGATTCCGGAAGTGGTGACGAGTTCGGATAGATAGCGAATAACGATAATTGTATGGAGCCCAGCGCCAATAAAAATAAATTTTGATACTAAGAGAAAAGATATTATTAATTATTAGAAAGTAAACGAGGGGTGTATTTATAATATATAGTACATGTGTATGTATATGCATACTATGCTTTCATATAAATATGTATGAATATTGACACATTTCGCACTTACAGCCATCATTGGATTTTTTATAGAAATCGCATATAACGCCCAGGATGCTGTCACCAGTGTACCAGTTAATATAATGGGAAAAGGCATACCCTCAGTACTCTTCTTCTCGATTATCTTATTCAGACTTAAAAGTGGTGAGCCAACCAAAAATACTAATATGCCAGTGATTAGCATACCAAAGCGGAATTCAATCTTGTGTGGGTCTTCATATGCGGCATATGTCAAGCAAGCCACTGTAAAAGCTCCGGCAATACCAATCTTCGACCAAATTTTCATTTTGAAATCATTGGACGCAAACCAATAGAATGCTGACAAGAAAACTACGCTAATGGCGAAGCCTACAATGTTCACCAATATAGTAGCAGAATCACCCATTAGTGTACCCATTTTTAGAGTGAGAATCGAGCTGTAAATGAGAGTAAAGAACAAAAAAATAATTTAGTTTAGTTATCATGAAAACAAATAAATGTCTACTGCTATGCTTGACTCTGTGGAAGGAAAAATTAATTTAATATGCTAAATTCATTGGCACTAATCATTTACATCAGTAAAAAACTTAAATGAATTTTTTCAACTAAAAACATCTTCAGCATAATTCTTCTAATAAGTTTTAATTGGTTAAACTTAAAAATAACAAAATTTAGAAAGAGAAATACATACATATAAATATACCCATAAATTAAATAAGGCATTTAAAAAATGTCTAAAAAAGAATTTTCCATTAGTATTAGTAGAAAAAATTTCAATTTCATATAAACAAATATTTTTGGTAGACTTAAACATTTTCTTTTACAGTAACTTTATAGTTGCTCATTTCCGACACTTTATTTATTGGATTCGTTATTTTTCAGAGCTCAAAAGCAACTACACATGTAGATAAGTTAGCTTTAATTGGCTATTCAAAATCATAATTTAAAGAAAGCTTTCAGAAGTTATAGGACTAACATTAAAACCATTCCGCCTCTAGACAATTTTATCTAATTTTATTTTTTAGATACTTAGAAATTTTTGTTACTTTTTTATTAACTAGTTTTTTGTACAAAATTTTTTTTCGCTCATTATTTTAAATTAAAAAATACAAACATACGTATACATGTTTGTACAGCACTTCTCAGCCTAATTCACAAATTGGGTTTTAATTTTACAGCAAAAATTTTCATTGAAAATATGAATGAAATCACTGAAACGCAAATGTGCGGACCTTATTCAAAGAGCACCTGTTGGTAACGAAAACTCATCTCTTGTTCAATAGCAATTATTTCACTCATACGCCCTGGCGAACGCGGTTGTAATTATGTTGCCTCTTTTCGGTGAGAACTGTCAGTAAAAATTAGCCAATAACGAAATTGAGAGAGTAAGATGTTTCACTCTCCCAAAGAAGAAATTTATTGAGTTTGCACCGAGTAGGATGCAGTAAAAATTAGCCAGCAAGTTTTGTAACGGGTGCTTTATTTTGGCAGTTACATTTGATTGCGTTCAGTTATGTAGCTTGTTGTTTTCTGCTTTTAAATATTTTCGTAAGTATTTTAATAAAATTACATGCTGCAAAACCATCAATCCATAAAGATTTTAATATGAATTTCTATAAAAGTCCTCTGAAAGGACAAACATTTATGTAAAACTAGCTTTGTAGCAATTTGTCGCTTAGATTTCTAGAAAGGATGATTGAAATGCGGAAATCAGCTTGAAGGCCTGCTTCTAAATTACCCAGCAATGTTAATTGAACATTTTAGCATTTCTTGAATTAGTTTTGCACATATGCCATGCATATTTAGAAAGAGCTTTTCCATTTAAATGTGACTAGTATTTTATTTGCTGCACCGAATTTTCATCTAACGAGTACCTTAACTATATAATTTAATGGTTGATAACAATGAACTTAATTTAACAAAATTACATTTGGGCACTTATTTTGTTAGAGATTAATTTTCGTTTGTGGACGAAAATTTTATCATATGATCATGAATCAGCTGTGTTTCATACTTGCTATTGTTTACTGGCTGATATTTTGTCATTAACAATTTTTACTGAGTTTTTTGCTCGACGACCACGATCCAGTAAGGTTTGCTAAAAATTGTTACTACCCATTTGATCAACGAACCAAACTTTTATAAGCTCTTTGCCTTACTGAACGCGTTTCAGTCTTCAGTTTTCAGTTACAATTGTTATTGCCCATCAGGTAGCCGAAAAGAACTATTGCTTTTGTGCGAAATTCGGTTGGACGAAAACATGCTCAACAATTGGAACCTAAGTGAACTCTGATTCAGCTTTAAAAGTGGGATACCACCATCGTGATATATGTAAATCTCCTTAATTTATCATATAAGGTATAATCTAGAATGTGTCAAATTAATGACTACCGTCAACGATTTGATCAAATCTAGCATTTGATCAAAGTCTAGCATTAGCATGAGCCCTCCCGAAGAAGAGCTGTCTGTATGCAACTAAGGAAACCGTGACCCTTCTCATAGCAGCATTCATTGTTGATCACCATGGTAAGTAATGCGATTACCACTAGAAAGTTATTATAGGAAAATGGAATTCTAATTACGGTCGCCCCTTGGCAATACAAACCAATAAAAACCTTGGAGACTTTATAGAAGCAATCGAATAAATACGGTAGTAAACAGCAACAAAAGGAAATATCTCATCAATCGTCCGCGGTCCCAAAACACAGATATGAATCATAACTCTCTAGATCAACACAAAAATAATAGCTTCTAAATTCAAAACAAAATCACTCTTGCCAAAAGGTTCTATTTTTGACCACTTAGAGAATCGAAAAGTAAAATCTTCTTTCCACGATTAGAGAACAAGTTCCACAATTTGGTTACCATATCCAATGTAAGGCACGAGACATAGGACAACTTTGACAAAATATAAACTCCGCTTTGGTAACCGGAGAAGCAATTTCTTTATGTTTTCCAACAAATGGAGGAACCTACAATTTATACTAAGCCGCCTCCGGACGGCTGATGGTTTTTCTATGAGGAGCTTTTGATTTTCATGGAAGAAATATATTCGAAATGAAAACATAAAGAATACTATACTATAACATTTTTACATCATATTCCCTTTCTTATAGATAATAAATACAGAAGTACATATGTATGAATGTGCACACATATAGCCACAAACGTTAATTAATAAATTTATATTTAAATTCCTCAGATTTTTCCTCAGTATTTATTTAGTTGATACAAAAGTACACATATATACTTAGTATGTATATATGAGGGTGTAAGCAACATCTATTTGCGTGCCGGCTGGCATCGTATTCTAGAAAAATCAACAGGTTGCATACTGGTATTTAAATACATACTCGCACTTCTACTACATATTATATACATACGTATTATATATATATATATATAAATGTATATACCATCACTGTATGTACGTGCACTTTTATGAATAATTTAAAGACTTTCAAAATTATGCACCACCTATGCCAAGGGGTATGTACATGAATGCCAAATTGTTATTACCATTGGAAAAATGTGGCACACACCTGTATATTGGTAATTGAATGATTTGAAACGTTATCTCAATCAGATTTTACGCTCCTCAAAATTGCTCCTCAACTAAGCGGAGTGAGTTCGATTGGCTGTTATTCATTTCGGTGTTAATAAAAATTGCGCTTTTTTCAAAAATTTTCTAATATGAATGGCGGTGAGTGTTTGGACTACTGGGTTTGGACAAAACATGCTAAATAAGCTTAAATTTATTAAGTGACGAGACCAAGTGCATAAAGAAGTTAAATCACTTACAATTGTTTTTGTAAAATGTGTTCGTTCGTTCTTCTCAAGGTTTCAGCACAAAGTTCTATTGCAAAACCAATGAAACACAGCTATTTGCTAGTCAAACAGGTTTGCAATTAACACCTGTGATTGTTTCAAAAGAACGAATAGGTCTAAATCTGTAGTTTTTAATAAACAAATCAAAACCGAAAATTTAAATTCAATAAGAAAATTAAAAATTTAACTAAAACGAAACAATTCAAAAGGTCCGCATCTTATGTGAGCACCATCATACAGGGGTGTGGAAACCACAGGTGTTTCAAAAAATGGCGATGGCTGATCGTGGTTCTGACGTCTCGCCAGTCGAATAAAAAAAGAAACCATACATAACCCTACCACAATATAAAGGAATTAAGGGCGCTCTCACATTGCATATTTTTTGTAAATATTTTTTGCGTTCTGAGAGTAGTTTTTCTATTCCTTCCTATCAATTTAAACATATTGTATATGTTGATATGTATTTATATATATGCTGAAGTAATTTTAGGGCCGAGTTCCCCCTCCAATTGGTGCTTTTGTGTCTAGAGTTTTTCCAACAAATTAACCTACAGATTATACTAATCTGCCTCCGAACGGCTAACGATTTTTTATGCGGAGCTTTATTTCATGTTAGAATTACGTTCGGAGAGGTTGACATTCCTTGCCGAAAGGCCACCGCAATTAGAAAATTTAATTTTCTATAACTTTTTGGATGTTAGTACGACACCAGGATTTGAGATCGATCCTCTAGGCCACCGCGGCCGCTTTTAATAAAAACAAACACACTTATATTGTACATATGCCTTGTATACTACATTTAATCAAAAGATCTCAATTTCTAGTACAATAGTTATTGGCTAAACTTATCGTAAAACAAACTTACGTGACTCAACCAATGAATGCGCCTCATCCTTGTCATAAATTATTTAAAATTTAAATTATTATCAATAATTGCAAGACTGTTATCTAACCCATGTATACGTATGTATGTATGTACATCAAAAATGTCGTAAAAAATTGAAATTAACAAGATAAAAATGGAATTTTTTTATTTTTTTCAAAAAAAATTTTGGAAGTTTCATCTGCATAATAAATTGGGGTGTTTAATGAACTGAAGTAAAAGCAGAACCAAGGCGAGTTTATAGACTCAAGTTGGAGCAGAAGCGACTTTTGAATTTTTGCGAAATTAAGCACGGCAATGCACTCCTGTAAATGTGTTTCTCTGTTTGGAGTCATCTCCTTCTCACACTCATAGATTCTCTCAAAATCCAAAATGATGAGATACGTAAGTATGTATGTTTTATAGAATAAAATTATGGAATAATTTTGTTTCTATTTATCGAAATTTTCTCTATTTTTTGCAGTTTCAAAAAATATTATTTGCTAGATATCTAACAATAAATTTGATTGCTTCACCAAAATGCTTAATAAACACACCTATTACTAATGCACAGTTCTTATCGGCTTGAGCTCCTATTCACGTAATCGTTTATCAGTTGAAGTATATATTGGGGAGATTACAAAACTATATTTGCAAATCATGATACCATTGCTATTTATTTAACGAAATATCATTTAGATTTGTACATTTGTACATAAAGAAAGATATTAGGGATATTTTTAAAAAGTAATCATTATCGTTTATCAGTTGAAGTATATGTTGGGGAAATTACAAATCATGATGCCATTGCTTTTTATTTAACGAAATTTCATTTAGATTCGTACAATGAAACTTAAAAATGCTTAGAAAGTAAGAAAGATGAACATAAAGAAAGATATTAGGAATATTTTAAAAATATATATATAAATATAATGATTACACTGATTTATTCGTGGAAGTTCATTAATATTTACCAAACACTAAAGTCGATCAAAAGTATCGTCCTAATAAAAAAAATAACACAACATGTTGATATAAATAATATTAAAAATAAATGTTTGATGGAGGTTTATATCATTTTCATTTTATTTTAATTTTTTTTTTTCTGAATTGGTATTAACACTTTCTTACGTACTAATATACCCCTCCCCTCTCTCTCTCTTATTTTGATGATGTTTGAATGTGCATTACTTTTAAAAAAATAGTTATAAGGTCAAGTTTTAGTGCCGGCAAAGATATTTAACTAATCGATTTACTCAAAGTTTTGTTTTATTACGTTATGAGATAGGAAGCGGTAGAAATTTCAAATTTTCCCTCGGCGCCAACTGAATACACAAAGTGAATTAAAATTCTTCTCCAGCTAATCTTTCCATAGCTCCACCACGTCTTCCTCTTTTTCTACTTCCATCAGTGAGTAATGCTTCGAATACATGAGATAAGTGCTTCGATCACACCTACGGTACCAGAAACTTTCTCATACCATGGGGAAAAGAGAATAAGAAACTGACAAGCTTATAGACGGCTCCAATACCAGAATATTTAGAAACATCGTCCTACTTAGTGAAAATAACATAAGAATACTAACAGGATTACTGCAGGACATTGCAGACTACGTAAGCATATGGAAAATATTGGAATAAGCTCTGATGACACTTCTGAGCTATTATCAGAGACACCATTGCATACTAAGCCGTAGCTTTGTAGAAAGGGACTGCGACATCTGGGAGTCGAAACTTATAACAGTTAAAAATATATATTTCCTCTCTTCCTGGTGCACTATCAAACCAGACCCATTCTTTCGTTTCTTTACCCAGTTTGCAGAAAGTAGAACTAACGGTGATTGCAGAAACTTACACGCATCTCTTACACTTAAAACAAGTATTCGATCTTTGCTTGCCCAATTCTCGATCCGGTGTCGCTCATTTAGCTGCACGAGATCTCTTTTAGTTGGCAAAAAGTACCGAGCCAGCAGTCATACGTATTCTCCGTTTGAAAGCTTTGAAGCTCAAATTAGAATTTTCGCTCTTTTATATTATTTATTAGCGAAATTGACTTAATCCATCTATATTCGTAAATTATTAAGTATGAAAAAATTTAATGCACTTTACGCAACCCTGATACAATATTATTTTATTACCGATTAAGATAACAGTAATGGAAGTTAATAAACTCTCGACAAGCATTAATTTGCTTACATATATACATGAACGTATGTACAATACTTACAGGACAACACCACCAAGAAATGGATCGGGAGGATATCCATCACTGCGACCCCTTTTTCGAATATCGTTCAAGAGAAGTACACCAGAGAGAAATTGTAAAGTTGTTATAGTTCCAGCCACTTTCGCAATCAACTCACTATATGGCGCCAATAAATCTCCCAGTGCATCCATATTGTTTTTTACGCTTTTTTTTTTTTTTGCAAAGACAACAAAATCAGACAACAATTATACGAAATTCGGTATCCTTGACACTGAAATGTGTTTTCTGCTTATTGCACGGCAGCGCACTCCTGCAAACGTGTTTCTTTCTCTGTACGATGTCCTCTCCTTCACACAATCTCACACAGATTCTCTCAAAATCCAAAATGCAGAGATACGTACGTATGTATGTGTTACAGAATGTAATTATCAAGTTCAAGAGCACTTCCGCCGCCGGCACACTGCACACTGTTATTTAACACGTCCTGCTGTCAATTCAATTTGCACGTACACACGCACACACATACACCTCCACAGCAAACTTGTTCAGTTCAGTTGTCGTAAAAAAATTATGCTCGCTTTGCTTAACTTTTGTTATTTTGTTGTTTCAATTCGATTTTTGCATTTACTTGCACTTTCCAATTACACTGGCGATTTTTGTTTTTATTTCTATGTTTTTTTATTCTATACTTGCAATGACCTTAATTTGATTGTTTTCTTTTGGTGCACCTTAAATTTGGTTTTACGCGGTGATTTTTTAGTTTCGACTTTGTCATTTGTCAGTTCAATTGTTCAATGTGAACAAATAGTTATCGCTTGTTCAAGTTTAGCAGACAAGAGATAAAGTAGTTTTTCAATTAAATCACACACTTTATACACTTGAATATGTTCATACGAATGTATGTATGAGTATGCTTGTCTCATTAACTAATATTAAACCTTTACATACACATATATATTATTGCGATTTTTGGTCTTTTGGCCTGTTTTTTACTTATGTAAAAAATATTTTTTTATCGAGAACAAATAAGGAACAAAAAACACGTTGAATGCGCTAAAACGAAAACGCGATGTTTCTCTTCTAATGTTTACCCGCTTCTGAGCTATCAAAAGCGACTGCAGTTATTCTACTGGTCGACTGGCCGCTTTAAATAAAATACATAGCTGCTGAAACTCGAAACAAAAACAAACGGCGCAACGATTATACGAGTACGCCGGGAGACGAACCAGCTTATTATATGTATTTCTTTATTGTTTATTTATTAGCAGAGAGCGGTACGAGTGCGTGGATGGAGATATGAGATTGGATAAGGTGTTGGGGACAACTATTTCCTACATATCTACAGTACTCAGCTGTTTTGTCGCTCAGCATGTGCTTTTAAACTATGCGAACCTACTCCACAAACTACTCAGCTACATGTATATAAAGGGTGATTCAAATACAACAAATTTTTAATAACCGTTTTTAAATATGTCGGTAAGCAGATATAAATATGTAGACCTACAGACCGACAGTTTAATCTAAGTCACTTTCAAACATCTCATGGTATTTTGTAAAATCTTTAAATTTCACCTCAGAAATACACACGGAGGAGAATCCATGTGTTGGAAGATCGTGCCAAGTCCTAAGTCTCACATTCAAGCTGGTTTCATGAATATAAAAGCTGTATAGCTGGTATAGAGGCAAGTAATGTCAACCCTTCCGTGTATATTAATGATTTGAAGAGCCAATTTTTGTGGTCTCAGAAGTGGGACCTTGAGAGGTTGATGAAAATCCATGATGAATGCTAATCAAGTCTGAATGAATTGCTCAGACTTCCAAATGAATGCTACTTAAATAAAACTCAAATCGGTCGTCGCATATCACCAGGTTAGATAGATCTGGATAGATTTTCATAGCTTAGTTTTCGGGATAGATAGATTTGGACATATTTTCATAGCTTTATTGTGAACCAGAGGAAACAGTTTAGGACTTCAGGTTCTTCTGCATATAGCCGGGCCAGTTAGCTTGCTGTTGATAGCACAATATGCCTCCACGCATTTCTCGACTTATCGTTAATAGATCTTCACTAAGGAGCCTTTGCTCATTTCTTGCTTAATTTCCCATAGTGTCGAGATGTTTTCCATAATTATTTATGAAACCAAAAACTTTCAATAGGAATTTTCTAAATAGCTCTCATGTATTATAACACCTACTCCATTACTTTGAAAATAGAAAAAGTTGAAGAAACCAGCGTGTATTTATCCAAATAAAAGTTTACATTATGATCATAAAAATAGAGCTAATAGTAAGAAATAAAAAGAAATTCTTCTAAACATCCTCTCGTAGTACCGGCTTTTTCTTTTCTGATACAAATGGTACTTTCCCGGGCTTAGAGTGTTTTCTTACATTTGCCTCTTTCACCTTCTCCTTGTTCTTGATGGCGCGCATTTTGCGTTGCGCATTCAACACATGCTTCGGCACTTGACGATGGCGAGCAATACGTTTTATTTGAGGGTGAGCGGCAAACTTTTCCTTTAATTTTTCTTGATAGTTGAAAGCGACACGTTCGCGAGGTTTTATAACACCTAATTTTTCTGAGGCATTGGCCTTCCACATGCGTATATTCATTTCATCCGAACCGGAGAATATGTAACGATTGTCTAATGACCAAGCGATGCAAACAACATGTTGCATACGTTTAGTGTGGTAAATTTCCCTCGAATGACTTTGATGAACATTGTATATGCGTATTGTTTTATCATAACTGCCGGTAACGAATTCTTTGCCGGTTGGGGAGTAGTCCACATCTGTTACTGCAGATACGTGATCAAAGTGTATCTTTAGAGGATTTCGGAGTTGACGCGTATCGAACGTATAAAGGCTGCGGAGTAAAAAAATTGTTTTTATACAATGTGTCAATACCAATAAATATAAATTACTTACTTGCAATCCTCATTTGCTACAGTGAAATTAAAGGCTTCCATAGGATTCCAAGCAAGCTTATTACTTTTCATAGTTAAAACGATTTTTCGCAGAGGTTGTGCTTCTCTCTGATCGTATAATATAATACTTCTATCGCTGGCACAACACGAGAGTAATGAAGTTTCAACTTGGTTAAAAGCAACAGAATGCAATGTGTCTACGCCCCATTTAAGTGTTTTTAAGGGATCATTCCGATTTTCATCCCAAATTGCACAAACCTCACCACAGGTAGCATAAATTTGTTCATTTCGATGATGTGAAATGTCGGTCAGAATTGTGCGCGATAAAATTGTATTAACTGGTTCCTCTTCCTCACCTAGGTCTGGCACGGCATTTTTCCATACTTTAATAGTTTTATCATCTCCTACAGTGAAGAAACGATCACCGTTTGATGAGTAAACAATACCACGAACAAAACCATCATGAGCAACGAAATTGCGCACACTGATACGATTCGCCAAATCCCATATTCGAATCTCTCCATCGTAGGCACCAGTAGCAAGAGTGGATAGATATTTTGGATGTTTTCCGAAGCATGCTACGCCATCTCGATGGCCACTTAAATTACCCACAAATGGTTTAGCGAATACTCGCTCTAATTTAGTGGCATTCAACGCTCGCACATATTCCCGGGCCGTTTCCATTGGATGTAATTCAGGATCGAAATTGCGCGGCACTGAAAAGTTGCTTTGTTTTAATTTCTATTATCCCATTTAAATTTATCACACTTACTTCTATGATTCTGTAATTTTGTTTCGCGAACGTAATGGTCCGGATTTCTACTTATCATTTTAACTTTCATAGTGATCTTCTATTAAATATTAATATTTTGCTTTTATAAAACTGCGTATTGTAAACCAAATCCAAAACAAAAACACGATGCACACGATGCGTTAAACCCCATACACATTGACAACAGCTGTTCAAACAGTGTTGTATTTAAACATGACATTTATTTTAAAATATTTCAGCTTGCTTCCGTTGCTTTTTAAAATTCAATGTAAAATTTTTTGTTGCAATATGAATTTATATTTTCAGCTAGTTAAATACGGTATGATTAAAAAATAATATAAAACAAATCCATTAAGATATATTTATTGAATCTAAGCTTATTTATCATGCTCTGTGTGAATGTAGAATAGCATAACAAACTTATCGATTATCAATTTAAATGATAATGCTTCGATTTTAAATCTTGTAACGTATCGAAGTTTATAACTGTATTTTTTTAATTGTACACCAACTCACAAATCTGTTACAAATTGATTTTAATTGCATTCATAAAACCATTGCATTTGGTTTTGAGTAACTATGGCTAAATGGGAGGCTACTAAGGAAAATATATCAATTACCCACTTCATAAATCCTCACCTGTTTTGGTATCATAAAGTTGGTGTTTCCAACGATGAATATCGTGCAATAGCAAAAGTTGAGAAGGAACTGGCAGATTACTATAGTGATCATCAAGCATGGACGCAGGGAAGGCGGCATCCACCAAAAAACACAATTGTAGCTGTGAAGTTTCTTGCTTGGAACAAATTGATACGCGCTCGTGTCGATCACATTACAGGTTTTGGCAAGACGGTAGCTGGAGGTGAGTTCATAATGTGGGCCTTGGATTATGGATTTCCATTTCAAACAAAAGCAGATCAAATTTATCGGTTACCTAGTAAATTTGCAACACCAATAAATTATATACGTTGTGGTGGTTTGTCGAATATACTACCCGCTGAAGAGTTCTTCATGAATAATGAAATGATTACAGTTGTTTCAAATAAATGGCATCAGCGGGCATGTGATGTCATCGAAAAAGCTTTAAATGGTTCAGAATGTATAGTGTTTGCTAAGGAATTTACTTCGAACGAACAAGATTGGGGGGAGCTAATAATTAAAACTAATATGGGAGTTAAATATCGTGTTAATGATCAGTTGGTGTCATTACATTTAGCAGCAAATGCTGTATCCAATTTCCGTATCGAATGTCATAAACTAAAAACAGCCAATATTTCGCCATGGTTATGTAATAATGGCAACAGTAAATTTCAAATAAATCGAGCTTACATCTATCCGGGTATCAGGAAAATAATTCATAATGGTATTGAAACCCATGAAATAGAGTGCGATGATAAAGCTAAGCAAAAAGTGGAAGAATGGTATGAACGTAATCAATTTACTGCTGGACAGAAGACTGGCTTTCTCGACACGACAACTGAATATACCATGACTGAGGGCTCTGTTACGAATACAAAAGATGATGAACAAAACGCCGATACGGAAAAGGCCAGTGAAAGTGATGAATCTCAACTAATGCAACTTGCCGGAGTACTGTCGAAATCTAGAATAAAGAAATACGTATGGGGAAGATTATCCGAGCCGCCTCCACCGGACGACGGAGATTTTGATATGGAAGTCAACAAAACAAAAACAAATAAAACTTTAGATACTGTTGATAGTGAAATAAGCTCAATTAAATATTTGCACTTAAAGGACTCTACAATTAACACTTACAATTCTACTGCAAACCTTGGAAATCAACAAGGAAAAAAAGTGGGAAATACTTGTTCCATGCCTAAAACTGACTCGAAATGTGATGCTGGAATATCCTTAAATCCTACTAAGGTAATAACAATTTAAATTCTTTTTTTTTTTTTTAACAACTTTCACCATTATGTTTTTTTTAATAATTTCATATTACTTTGAAGGAGAACAATAATAGTATTGGTACACTAGCTGAACATTTGATAAATATCCGAAAGCAGGTATGGTTTTACTCAGCTTAATACTTATGTAATACATGTATGTAAGTGCGAAACACGATTTTACTAAATTAAATTTTTTTTAAGTATATAAATAACAAAACCGATGAATTGATATTAACTGACACGGAGAGTGTCTGTACGGCGAAGGTAAAAATCTCATAATTATGGTATATGTGTATATACATTTTTCTTTATTTTTATTTATTATAGGAACCTCAGGCGCGGCGTAAAGTTAGTACTACAACAATAACTAAAAGGAACGCGAGTTCTAAAAACAAAGTATTTGAATTATGCTTTCGTTTATATCATAATAATTTTTATTTAATTATTAGATTGCTGACTTGTGCTCAACTTTTCATGGCCTGCGTATGATACCGGCCGGTTATGATATTATGAACTTGCATGATTATAATGATCAAGATCATTGGCATTGTAAGAAAAGCACACTTAATGATCGTGCACCACATAATGAAATGGATTTATTTGATTTTGCGAATTAAATCGACAGTACCGTTCTATACATTCAACATAATTAAATTGCCTAGATCTGCAATGTATGTATATATTCATATAGAATTCCCTTTTTTGTTGTATGGTTTTGAAAAGTATATTTAAGCATATACACTGAAAATAAACAATTTCTTTAAATACCTAAATAAAAAAAGTTTTGCTATTGAAAGTTACTAAATAAAACACAAACATTTGATATATTTTTTTTATTTGCAAATTAATTAGAATTTAATATCTAACACAAATAAATGAAACAACTAATAAAAAAATTATTCGTATACACAGTCAAATGCTTGCAGTATGTATTTCGAGCGAAACATACATACGTATATGTATAACTAATGTAACTACTAAAATTGATTTGAAACTAAAATAAAAAACGTTTAAAATATACTCTTCAACGATTGATTTAAATTGTTTAACATAAGTTTACTTTCGTAGTTGTAAATGCGCATATGTGTACATACATAAATGTATATGCAGATTTATCAACCTTTGAATATATATAATAAATTCATCTACGAATGTCCATTTCCAAGTTCCCGTATGCATTGGCTTTCAAATGACAAAAATTTTCCTCGAAACTAAGGTTTAGGCTATTAATGCTCATGTTTAGGTTACAAATATTAATAAGGCTTTATTGAACCCATCAATTTTTTACAATATTAATTCTTGGCGTGTGGTGTTTAAAGGAAATTAAACAAGAAATGAAATGCACATTCTTTCCAAAACTCTGCTTGCTGCTTACAATGGGATTGGCTTGGGTAAAACATTTCTAATTTGGCAGCGTTTAAGCATCTTTGCTTCTTGTCGTTGCGCATGTACTTCTTCATGTGACTCTAGCTCTGCAATACTGTTGAAGAGATGCGCACAATAAAGGCACTGATGAGAGGTCAATATCCTTAATGGACTGCTTAGCGCACTTTCCTTGGTTATATCGAGCATTCCCTTACAATCAAGACGATTAATGCAATCTGGCGTAGTTTTATCACTGCTGTTGACAATTGGCGATTTTGTTGCCAATGTGAATAGTTCATGTAACCATATTGCTTTTGTAGCTTCATGTTTATCGTCAACTAAACTATCTTTCTTAGCCAATTTTGATACTTGCGTTTCAGATTCGAAATCGTTAGATTGGGAATTCCGGCGACGCCGTTTACGATCAACTGTTGAAGGTACAACCTCTGTTTCATGACTAAAGTCTTGCTCAACGCGCTTTAATTCACAGTTTACGACGTACTTGCGTTTTTGTTTGCAAAGGTGTCTTTTTTGCTGATGCTCCTCTAATTTGTTTTTATCGCCGAACCGTAAAACACAAACTTTACAGCGCAAACGCCCATCATCAGACGCGTGATCGCGCAATATGTGCAAGTTCAAACGATGAAATCCCTTGAATTTTTGTAAACAAATCTTGCATTTGTATCGCTGTGTAGGCAACTGTTTCAGAGGTGGCTTTACTTTAACTTTAACCAATGCCGCTTGAACTGCCTTTTTGGTGAGTTTACGACCGCGTCGTTGTCCATCTTTCTGTATAAGTGTCTGCGCAGAAATTTTATCTTTGGAACGTAGTTTTTTTGGTGTCAAAACGGGTTTTGGCTTTTCAAATTTAACTTTCATTTCAACACAATTTTGCTTTGCTTTTACTGGTTCCGTTTCCGTTGAAGGTAATGTTGACGGCAATGATTCAGTCTCAGGGACACAGTCTGTGGAATTGTGATCGGGCGCAGGCTTTCCATGTGTGCTCTGATGTTTTAAATAGTTAAAATAACCGGTAATAATTTTTTCACATTGTATGCACTCGAAAAAGTACTGCTTACGTTTAGCTATTTGATAGATACGAGCCGTACGCTCCAGTTCCTTTTCTTTTTTGAGACCACAGTTGGAGAATAAATTCCGGATATGGGTAATTTGGTGAAAATAATCCCCACATTCATCAAATTTGTGACTGTGCAACATGTGCCGTAAGAGATCAGCATGTTGAGCACCGCACTTCTCCTTGCACAATGGGCATTTAAGATTTTGCATCATTGGGTCTTTTAATGATTTCGATTCTTCTGCATGATTCTGCATGACATGTTCCTTGTGCACTTTAAAGGCAGCATCGATACATCCGCAAAGCTGGCATTCGTAATATATATATCGTTGCATGTAGCGCAACCTTATTGTCATGGCAGAATCCTGAGCGCAGCGTGGTCGTTCGGATAGCACTTCGCCATCGTAGGATCGATGCTTTCGACGCATATGTTGTATGAGACGCTGGCTGGCAGGAAATTCTATTTGACAAACTGGACATTTAACGCCGGCATCTAAACTTTCTTCTTGATGCACATGAGCAGCGTATGGTGGTGAAGATATAGCATCGATAATATTGTTATTAATTTTTATAGTTGGTGAAGGGAGATTTGTGTTTGCACCCTCATTGTCATTTTGCACAGGTAGTGTTTTGGTATTTTGTTTCAAAGGGCTGCACTGTTTTTCTGTATGTTCAATATCGGACTCACTATCGCTAGATACTAAGCTCAGACTGGCAATTAAGTTCAATTGGCGATTTTGGTATTTCCCTTTTCGAGAACTCCTTTTCCCCCTTTTATTTTTTTTGAGAATTTGATCCTGATCGGGATCAACTTTGCGAAAAACTATTTCCTCCTCATCTGTCTCAAGGGTCTTTTGCGGTTTCAACACACTAGAAACTTTGTCCGTTGGTACATCATCCTCATCATCATCCAAATCGATTACCGCGACCACTTTATAGGGAGAACAATTGTTAACAATGGGTGATACTACATTATTACTTGAGGCAGTGGTTTGAGTCGAGGTAGTTATGTTTGTGGCAGTGATATTTATATTAGGCATAGAGCTTCCGACTTCTGTTGGAACATTTTCCTTTATGGGTGTTTTAATAGTATTCAATTTTTCTGCTGACAGATGTATGCCTCCTGGTGTTGACGATATCGGCAAAGCGGGTGAGGGAGTGTTTTCACGTGACGTTAGCACTTCAATAATTTCTTCAGGAACATTCAATGCTACACCAGCAGTTGCTGCTACCAAAGTTTGTTGTCGCAAAGTTGTTGTATTCCATTCTCCGCCACCAGCACCTCCTCCCACAACCATTAACCGTTTCATAAGGCGGTGTTGCTCTACTTTCTCAAAAAATAAATTATACAAGAGTTCGTCATCATCGACAATCACTCGGTCATCATTATCTTCATTTACGTCTAATCTATGAAAATTGTGCAGCCGTTCCTCACAATCGTGGCAAATGTTGCCCAATGTAGGCGTAGTGCAAAGTAGCTGAAACAATAAACAATATGCATATGAGACGCTTTCACACGCTACCCTCAGAGGGGCTACCAGGGCTTACCCTATCGTTACATCGCTTTCGACTAAATTTCCGGAGCTCTTTAATTGTGTATTTAAGATTCTTCTCAGTGCGACATATACGGCAAAAGTGCATGGTTTGCGATTGTTTTATTAAATTCTCCGGCAAAAACTATGGATTTATTGTCTTAACAAAAATGTAAAATAGTTATGGATTTATGTGAAACATATGAAATAATATTGAAAGAATTGACGATAGCAAAAAAATGCTATCACACTACAAAGGCGCGTATGCGAGCGCGGCGATTAGGGCGAAACTGTCAGTTGTGTGTTTATTTCCAATGAATAACAAGGAAAAACAAAAACAATTACCATAACAAAACTTATAATTACCCGCCATTTATACATGTTGCTGCCAGACCGAATTTATTAACATCAATGATTATTTTTTAAAAACAGTACTAAAATCATGTAAATAAAGTTCTAGAATGATTTTTTTAGTTCTTTCTTTGCATTTAACAGTTCATAATTGTATACCTATTAGTGTTAAGGTGCATTTTAAAGAAAGTTTTCTTCAGTTGAGTTCTTTTTCAAAAGTTACCATTACACTATGTTATCGACTTTAGTATATGTGAGGTTATAAATGACTGCAGACACTCAACAATTTGTAAAGTAAATAAAATCATAAATATTTGTTGAAAACTAAATTAGCGCGATAATGGATAGTACTAGCTTATTTTATCGTGAAGTTATACCGGACACTTCTTGTCAAGAAGAATGGATTGAAATTCAATTGAATACAGGTAAGAGATTTTCTTATTCAAATGTATGATAAACTTTGAATCTTCCATCATTACCAGGTGCAACACAAAGCACCCTTCAGGATATTAAGGTCGTGGAAAAAGCAGGCGGATATTGTTACCAAAATGTACAACTGAACCACAATCGAAATCGATTTATTTATTGGTAAATTGTATGTACTTGAATTAAATATACACATTTATACCTTTCAACTTACAGGCATACCTACCAAGATATCCTGGAACTATCAGAAGTTTGTTTGGATTTCACTTTATACAAAAACAATGTACGCTACAAGTTTTCAGACACACCGGTGCTAAGTGTGTGCATAAGTGAACAAGATCGATATGTGACACTTCTCGTAACAACTGTTTGCAGTTTACACCATATAAGATTTCCACATCCAGACACTTTGGCCGATGGTGTTAATTCAAAAGTTTCATCTAAAAATATTCATTCAACCACTAGTGGAATTTCAATTGATTTCAACGACTCACAATCACTGTCAATATTTCATGAGGCGAATAACGCTTCTGTGCGTAGTCCAAGCAGTTTTTATGTTATTGACACACAAAATGCCGCTTCAAGTCCGGTGCCGCATGCTGCGACTAGTTTTTTATCGCCCAGCGGTGATGAGGCTTACTTTACTCTAGCTTGTCAGTCGGAACTAATGCTATATGTCATGAATTGTGAAAACGGTTATACCACCCCGCAGACATTAAAGGAAAGTAACATAATGCCTCGTTTATTTTCAAATTTGAAAAACGCATTCACGTAAGTAATTATTATCAATTATTTGTAATAACGTAAAATGGTTAATTTTAAAGATATATTTCTAATTTATTATAGTGGTAAAAATGATATTTCGGATGCTAATCATGTCAGCTCCGTCGTTTTCTGTTACATCAATGGTCAGATATACTTACTGGCTTTATCTAGAGATGTGCAACTTCGTGTATGGTCTACTACTAGCTTCCAGTGCGTTTGCTCCATTGACTGTGTACGCGACAATAATAAAACACGAGCCCAAGGACGTATGTTTAAACTACTTTCTTATTTCTAACTGATGGTAGATGAATTTTTCGTTGCCTTTCTTTTTAGCACAAAGCAGCGTGTTACGCAAAATAAACGATACCTCAGTATGTGCATTTCTATCTCACTCGAATCGATCAGAATTTCTTTGTATTGACATACATATTGATGAAGCCACGTCGGCAGGCTTGAGTTTAAGTTATCGGAAAAGTATACCCGCCCCCTTACTTGATTTGGCTGATTTTGCAGTCACTGAGAGTAGAATTTGGGCGTTGTGGACAAACGCGGAAGGAGAATTTAGTATTTCAAATTATCCACTAATACGATTCTTGGGCATGAGTTGGTCATTAGCGGCACTAGAGCCACCACCAGATAGATACTGCATTGGTAATGAGCACAGTTCGGATCCGAGAGAAGCTTACTGTAATTATATTTTCCAGCGCGGTAAATTCGAACGTGAAGTCATCGCCAAAGCATTATTTGTAGGACTAAACCCTTTTTTGATTAAATCTGTTTTATTACACAATAATTACTTTCAGATGTTTCGTCGTACAAATTTACGCTTCGAGTCTAAGCATTGCACACTGCCTGTACTTAAAGATCAAGTGTGCCAAGCTGTCGAAGATGAAATACAAAACGAGGTCAAAGAATTCGATGTCACTGATGAAGATTACTTAGAAATAGCCACGCGACAATGGGAACGTTTCTATTCGTGTTGTGAGCAATATCATTTGAAATCAGTTCAACCTTGTGGTCTTTTCGTACTCCAACCCATTGATGGTGTATGCTTAGTCAAGAAGAACAACTTTTCACTTTTGCGTCCTTGTGATACCTTAGAGCATCTTATGCTCGCTGGTGATGATCTTGATACAAGCACCGTTGTTTCCACATATTTCGCTGGAAATGAAAGCGTTGGTGAAGATCTCGTTGTGCTGGTGTCCATTGTAGCCCAGTTAGAGCGCTGGCTCCCGGATGAAGTGAAATCTGATGTGGATAGACGACTTTATCGTTTGGAAATGCCAAATGTTTTCATTTCTAAATTGACTGATGAAATTTTAGCAGGCGATCCTGACCGTGAGTTATTACCAAGTTCCTTCCTTGTGTGGATCAGACAAAAAATTCAATCAATTAGTGATTTACGCGTGGCTATGACACTACTACTGGATACTTTGCGTATGGATAATGGTAATCCCGCTGGAATGCAAACAAATTTGGGTAATCATTTAAAAATAATATAATCGTTAAAATTGTTATTTTAAATATTTATTTAAAGGTTACTCGCAAGCCTCACAATTTTTGTCCACTGTGGGTGTGCTATTTGGCAGCCATTTGGGTTTGTCAGTGCTTTCTGAGACTGTGCGTCAATTAACTGCAGTAAAGTAAATAAAAAAAAATAATAATTTTGGCTGACAATTTAACTTTATGGATTTTTTTTTATAGATTTGCAATTTGTAGAAATCTACTCATTCTGCATCAAATACTCATCGACACTTATTCTCTGAGTGTAGACTTATTGGAAACAATACGTTCTCATTTCATGCCCGATATAACAATTTTCTTACAATCCTACTATGTAATGAGTTGGATATCAGAGACGCCAGTGAACATAAGCGCAGCGGCAACAATGTAAAATAACTCTCACTTTATTTAATATAAATTATTCATTCAAAACAAACTTTTTTTGTAGGGAGAGTTCTATTCAACGATTGAACTTATTGCAGCTGACAAATGGTTCAGGACGTATATATACAAATGGTGGTAAATATCATGTATCGCCCTTGTTACGCGTTTTTCTCAATGCGAAGGGGTTATACACTGCTGGCGCACTTTACGCAGAAAATTTTAAAGCTGGAGAGAACTCACCGACATGGACGAACACGCTACTTCCGCTCACAACAATTGTCAGCCAATTAATGTAAGCTTAAATTTTAAATTCTAAAATATATATTTATTTCTCTTAACTAAAATTGTTTCCAAACAGTTGGCCCGTCTCGTTTAATTTTGTTTTTGGCGAATGGTTGTTTGGTACTTGTCAGCACATCGCTATTCAGGATTATGTCCGTTTATTGAGCAATTGGTGTGAATGGAATATTTGTTCACGTATGCTAATTTGTTTACCCATTATAATAATGCAATTATTAATTTGCTTCAACTTATAGGCCAATTTATTCTTGCCGTCTCGTTGCTGGATTGTGGCGAAACCTATAAAGCCTACGATCTTTTCCTTCAATCAACAAAAGGTGTAATGCGTGAACAATTTTTAACAGACAAAATTCTAAAGGGTACACCACTAGCTAAACGTACAGAGTGTGTAACTGCATTAGGTGAAGAAGATGGTGGTGGCGGTGACGCTTTAGATAATACTATAAGCAATCAAATCATTACCCAATACTATTTGAAAGTGATTCAGTTGCTAGAACAACATAACGCTTTAGATCATATTATTTCAATGGCTCAAGTTGCCATTGGCTTACTGGACAAATCTGATCCCCAATTACCAATGTTTCAGTCAATTGTCTTCAATAACCATTTGCAGTTAGAACACTACGAGGAGGCTTATCACTCGCTCATATATAATGCGGAGCTGTCGCGTCGGAAGGACTGCCTACGGCAGCTGGTAGTAACACTGTTTAATCGGAAAAGACTGGATTTATTAATGCACTTTCCGTACGTGGGATTGCATGAAGAATTTGAAAATATTGTTGAATCCCGAGCACGCTCGCTGGTAATTGACCAAAATGAGGTCTACGACTTCTTGTATGCATTCCACGTAAACAATGGAAATATGAGGAAAGGTAAGCGTACACATTATGCTTTCAAAATTTCTAGCTCATTTAAAATGATTGATAAATTTAAAACAAATACTTGCAGCTTCGGCTATTATGTACGAACAAGCCATGCGTTTCCAACTTGAAAGCGATACTGTAGAATCTATGGAAAAGCGCTGCTCTTCACTTTTGGTTTGTATAAACTCGTTGCATCTTATTGACCGTCGGTATCGATGGATCGCAAAGCCAGTAATTGGTCTGGATGACGCGCCACCTTCGAATGCGGCCATTGCGACTGACGCCATGGAGAGTGGAACAGATGATGACGCTATTCGCGAGCAAGTTGTAGTATTAGAAATAAAAGATATTAAACGTGAATTACTACAAACAGAAGCGCTTGTGCGACTCGCTGATCATCGTAAGGATGTCCAAACATTCATCAATGCAGGTCCTCAAGAATTGGCGATAATCTTATCTGGCTGCGGTCTGTACACAGCTGCACTCAAGTTAGCCAGCGGTTTTGAAATATCTTCTCTCCCAATATTTGAGAGTCTCGCCGCAGCTTGTGTGCGCATTGACGATGAAGGGCCGAATCAGGCATGGGCGTGGTTACAGGAGAATGACTTGGCTGGTAGGTATAATATGAACACAATATAACCTAAAGATTTAATATATTTTTGACTATACTTCTTAGATTTGCCTCATCGCAACAAACCTGCTGACATGGCTTGGTCACTACTACAAAAACTTATTTACGACAATGAATTAGAGAATTCGACTCGTATACGCAAAGCTGTGGTAAACAAGCTGCTCAGCTTAAACGGTTTCGTGCCACAATGGTTGTACAACGACTACAAAGTAAGTGAACGAAATATAAATCCTTTTGTCATTAATGAGTTTTTATTTTATTTTACTAGTTGTCCAATTGCGGGGAGTTGTTGTATTTGTTCGTGAAGCATAGTAGGTTACTGGAAGCAGCTGAATTAGCGCAGGAAATGATAAATGCAATGTTGGGTGCAGGTAGTGAATATTTCAGTTTCAAACACTCCATCGCCGTTACAAACCAAGAAATGTGCTTACCTGTCAACACATTGGACCTTTTACTGCACGGTTTGCGTTTGAATGCAGATTCAGATATAGAGTATAAGCAGGTTCGTTGGCATTTCTCAAAATTCGAATGATTTACATATATTGACTAACAAATGTGTATAAAATATGTATAGGTGCTTACCGAATTAGAGGACGTTGTTCAGAACTACCTTAGTACGGCTCAACGCACGGCGGCAGACAAAATCCAAATGGCTTTTCAAGAAGAACGTAGCAACATACAGCGACAGCAAGCAGCTTTGGCTTGAAATCATTTATTTTTCAAAAGTTTTTTTAATATTTCCAAGTGTCAACTACTTTCTAATTACTATGCTTAAAAATAAATTATTCGTATTTTCGTAAATTTAAAAATCGTCCATCATCATTGATTCGGACATGAATTTCTTGTAAATGTTCATAAATTGAGCCACAAAAGCTTCTAAATGGAAAATGTGTTTGGCACCATTTTGCATGCGGTGTTCATACAATGTGGCATATTCCAAAGTTTTGGCTTTTAGTGACATATCACAATTTCTCACAAGCTCTTCTACCAATCCACGGAATATCATATCGGGTGGCACACCTTGTGCTAGTAACTCATATAGACGATCTCTTATTTTCTCCAATTTTGCTGGAGTTTGCTCCGTCACTATTTGATTAGCTGTTTCACGCAAGAACACCTGCCAATCTAGCTCTACAATGTCTTGTTGTCCAGTGAATGGATACTGTTGAACCTTACACGCTTCCAGCATCAGCAACGCCCTTCGTAGATTGTGTTCACTTTTTTCTACTATACGTTTCGAAAATTCAGCAGGCAAAGTTAAACCCTCACGTTTACAAGTCAATTGCAGTACTGTGGTTATTTCTTCTTCGTTAGGGGCAGCCACACGTATACCCAAACAACGCGATCTTATTGCTGGTATGACACGGGAAGTAGAGTTTACGGATAATATAATGCGACAGGTAGCCACATACTTTTCCATAGTACGACGAAGCGCATGTTGGGCATCTTTTGTTAGCTCATCCACCTCGGAGAGAACAATTACTTTGAATTCACGTTGTCCCGCAGCATCGATTTGGTGTGTTTGTGCCACCTGTTTAATTAGATCGATGACAACAACTCTATCATAAATGCCCGCATCGGAAGGATTTACTTCCAAGTGATAATTGCTGCCAACTGTCATTACTTCCACTTTGCGATTTGATGGTGTGGTAAAAGTCATGGTTTCATTGCGTAGTCTCTCCACGCCTGCCCCATAGAGCTCACGTAGCAGACACATTATACGAGTCTTTTTACCCGCACCAGAGGGGCCGTAGAACATTAAATGAGGAAAATCCCCCTGTTGGCAAAGGTTACGCAAGTTTTCAGCCTGATCCTGGCATAAAAGAATACGGTTTATTTCAATCAATATATTTAACATAACTAATTAACTTACTTTGTGGTAATCAAGTTTGGATAATTCACGCGGACGATGTTTATCTACCCAGAGAGCCATTTTGCTAGTTGTTTTTATAGCAGAAATTCGAATATATTTTGTATCATAGAAAAAATATAAAAACTACTACATAAATTTAATTTATTTAGCACGGTAGTTTGCCGGTTTTCCCGCGATTTGATTTTCACACAAATACAATTTGTTTTACCAGAGAACGTATATTATTTTACGTTCTCTGATATACATATATATAAAGCGGTTGACAGATAGAGCTTCTGCGTTGCGTTGCGTGACAGTTTGACTTTGACGTTTTGACCATTTGATAATTTTAATTTCGATTGGATAATTGGTTGACAATTGCTTTTTGCGTTACTTATTTTTATTAATCTCTGCACAAATTTGTTGCTTTCAATTAATTAACACATATAAATATGTATATCTGTTTCAGCTGTCAAATTTGAAGCGTATCGTAGTTACTATTAAAACTGGCATACGAATTTCATCGCCACGATTCCTTGCCGTACCGTTATTATAACCATCGCTTTAAAACAACGTTCATTGAGTCAAAGTTTGAAGTTGTTCGCTTTAAGCTATACCTTCCAGTGACTAAAGGGATCACAGTGGTGTCAAGATAGGCATACCTACTTGAATTCGAGATTTTGTAAATTATTCTAAATAAAAGTATTTACATACATACATACATATGTATGCGTAGATCCTATTTTTGGAAACATTACAACTGCCACCTTAGAGCCAACGTTATTCCCACCAAAGGCTCTGCTCTAAAATAATCAAAATTTCCAGGTGTATTTATTGTAATTGTTTTAGATACTTTTTCTACATAGAATTTCATTTATAGAAAACTCTCAGGGATTTTATAAATATCGGAAATGTATGTGCGCAGTCAAATAGACTGATTTCGTAGAGTAAATGCGGGTAATATGGCATAGGAGGATAATGTGGCTTTGCTCGGAAACTATAAATGTGAAAATAACGGGACCTTGAGGAATAGGTCGATTTTCTCAGATTTTTAATGAAGCGAGATTTAAATTACGATCGAGAGTTAATAAGTATTATATAATATTAATCAACACTTTAGGTAATATTTTGTATACGTTTTTGTGTAATTTATTATTTATAAAAAAAGGGGTAAAACTCGATGTGGACTATTGTGGTATAAAGCGGCTAAAGTGATATAGTATAGCAGTATACTGCTCTCAACATGCCAAATGAAAGTGGATATCGGAGGATATGAAAAAAAAACCATATAAACAGTAAGAAATAGAGAAATGGGCTTGACTTCTAAAATATTCGGTATCCTCCTGTATAATTACCAAATATTCAGTGGCCCTCATACTACCGTATATCCGTTTATATCAGAAAAAAATTTGTTTGTAACCTTTTTATTTGTAATACCGCTCCAATTTTATTACATATATCGGGTTGCCCAAAAAGTAATTGCGGATTTTTCATATAGTCTGCGTTGATAAATTTTTTCAACGGCTTGTGACTCTGTAATTGCATTCTTTCTTCTGTCAGTTATCAGTTGTTACTTTTAGCTTGCTTTAGAAAAAAGTGCCCGAAATTTTGTTAAATTTGTTTGCTTGGCGTCAATTTTAATATGGAGCCCACAAAGAAGCATTTTCGTCATATTTTACTTTATTATTTCCGTAAAGGAAAAAACCCGGAGCAGGTGGCTAAAAAGTTACGAGATGTGTATGGTGATGAAGCCTTAAAGGAAGACAGTGTCAAAATTCGTTTCGCAAATTCCGTTCTGGAGATTTTTCACATAAAGAGGAGAGGAGGAGGAGCCCCGTTCAGGTCGGCCAAATGAAGTTGATGATGACCAAATCAAAGCATTAATCGAATTGGTTCGTCATGTAGCTGAGCGTGAGATAGGAGAGAAGTTAAATATTGGTCTTGGACTGGTGAAAAAGCTTGATATTTGGGTACCACATGTATTGAAAGAAATTCATTTAACACACCGAATCAACACTTGTGATATGCAACTTAAACGCAATGAATTCGATCCGTTTTTAAAACGAATCATAACTGGAGATGAAAAATGGATTGTTTACAACAACGTTAGTCGAAAACGATCATGGTCCAAGCATGGTGAACCAGCTCAAACCACTTCAAAGGCTGATATCCACCAAAAGAAGGTTATGCTGTCTGTTTGGTGGGATTGGAAGGGTGTCGTATATTTTGAGCTGCTTCCAAGGAACCAAACGATTAATTCGGATGTTTACTGTCAACAATTGGACAAATTGAATACAGCCATCAAGGAGAAGCGACCAGAATTGGTCAATCGTAAAGGTGTCATATTCCACCAGGACAACGCTAGACCGCACACATCTTTGGTCACTCGCCAAAAACTGAGTGAGCTTGGCTGGGAACTTTTGATGCATCCACCATATAGCCCTGACCTTGCACCATCAGACTACCATTTATTTCGATCTTTGCAGAACTCCTTAAATGGTAAAACTTTCGGCAATGATGAGGCTATAAAATCGCACTTGGTTCAGTTTTTTGCAGATAAAGGCCAGAAGTTCTATGAGCGTGGAATACTAAATTTGCCAGGAAGATGGCAAAAGGTTATCGAACAAAATGGCAATTATATATTTGATTAAAGTTCATTCTAAGTTTTATTAAAAATGCATTTACTTTCTTTTAAAAAATCCGCAATTACTTTTTGGGCAACCCAATACAATACAAAACCACTTTGAGGTATATATAATATAAATTAAAAGTAGCATTTTTTCAAGAAACATGTTTGCTTTCATAGAATTGTTAAAAATAACTCCGCTGTATATTTGATCAATTATTTGATATGAACTTTTTTTTTTAATTAATATGACCCTCTTTTGCTTTGACTACTGCATCAATTTATTTGGGCATGAACTCGACCACCTTCCTGCAGGAATCTCCGCTAATATTTTGCCAGTCAGTTTGAGGGTTCTCCCATAAATCGTTAAGTTTCTGACGCTCATCTGACCTTTGGCATTCGTCCAGGTTTTTTTTTGCATTAAAATGAATCTTGGCACTCCTCTGTGTTTTGTGTTTAAATAAATAAGGCTTTTGATTTCCCATTTTTTTTAAATTAAATTTTTTCATCTATGCTGAAGGCAAATTAAAGAAAATAATAAAGAAAAATAATAGAACACAGTGATGTTTTAGTAAATACTTGATTCTAAGGATTTCACCACTATTTATTATAAAATAAAATTACAAACTTGAACAGCAGAGCAATATTACGTCCACTAATGCCTTCGTCTACATTTGTAAATATTCTTTGAAATGTAACGGCATATTTCCAACTATTCCGCATTTATTAGCTGACATTTCATAGGGCTATTTAGTGAGCTTATCTTTCTTATTCAAAAGTTTATTTTAACACAGATAGAACAAAATATAGTATTTGGAAATGTTAGTTGATCAAATAGTTAACATACTCTATATACTTGTAGAATTATAGAGGCAGCAGAGCAGCAACAATATAAAAATAATAACGGTATTGGTTTAAAAGAAATAACTTCAATGTCACCCACAAACAGTACCAACAATTCAATCATATTACCTTCCATTGAAATAACGGTCTCAATTTCGTTGGAGGTTAAGCGACGAATTTATTTATTGAATATTTTGAAAGCGATTCATACAGTATCTGATAACATTAATTTAGTTTACTGGTTAATTATATTTTTATATAGTTTTAATACAGTTATTTTTTATATTTATATTTGTAAATACACATATGTATGTAATCAATTTGTATTGTAGAAAGAGAAGTTTCGTTGTAAATAAAGTATACAGAAGTCACATAAAACATAAAAACGCCAACTTATTATTATTAATAACATTCAAAATATGTATGTATGTATGTATGTACGTGTCTATGTCTAATACTGTTTGTTAATGCTAAATACAAATATACGTACATATGTATTTCACGTAATATATAAAAGAATTACAAATGTTTTCTTTTTTATATAACAGAGTCTTTGTAGATAAAACAGGTTTGTGAAATTTAATATATAGTTTTATAAAAAAAAACTAAAAATACGAATTCATAATTTCACTTATATAGATATAATTACATACAATTAACAATACAACCTCTTAGTGTAGGGGGAAATTACATTCATTAGAGATAATTTATAAACATAATTCTTAAAGAATTAAACGAAAAGGAATTTGTGTAAATTTGCGCATTGTAATCTTAAGCTTTAAACGATTTACTGTTTCATTTCTATTTAAAAAAATAAATGACATTGTGCATATTATGGCTTTAGAATGTTTTTTAGTTATTATTATTTTTTTTTTTTTTTGTTATTGTAGCAAACACACACAGCTCCGTTAAATTTAAGCATGTTTAATTGTAATTTGCGTTTTACATTTCGTGAATTTGAATTTTTAGTTACTGACTTACGATTCGAAAATACATTGCACACATGTACATACATATGTATGTATATATGTACATGCTTACATATATATATGATGTATGATAATACACATAAAACAGGAGATGTATTTACTTTTTATATATTCGAAATGTTAGAACTAATATCTTCACATATATTAATGATAAATGATATGGTCAATAATTAATGTAATAAATATTTATACTGCGTGAGATTAAACGATTACATGTGCATTTTTGTACATGTTTTGTAAAAATTTTAAAGAATAATACAATAATGAAGCAATTTGTATATTTCATAGAAAAATTATAATTAATAATTATAAGCGAAAATATGAAATACAAAATTTCTCATATCACAGATTTTTTTGCCAAAAATTTCATATTTACTAACTGTAAAAAATACATACGTGTATAAAGGTAAATTTTGACCACACTATAATTTAATTTCACTTAATTTAATCGAAAAAATAATTCAAGGATAATTAAATAGTAAAAGGAACATTCAATATATTCTACTAAAGAATATAGTAATTAAAATGTAGAAAAATTCAGTCTGTTTAACCGAAAAGCGGAACATGGCACTTATAATTATACGAAAACATGAAATAAAATGGATTTTTACAGAGGTTTTAAAACTCCTTACAAAATTTAGTGCACATGTAGAAGTTGGCACTATTTTGCAGATATTTTTTGATTAATTATTGCAAGCAGTTTACTACGTGGAAGTGATTCATTTTGTATATGTACGAGTGAGCACGTATTTTTTTAAATCTACATTTATCAACATGTTAGTTGAAATTGCACAAATGCCTATTTGGCGGTTTTAAAAACCTTTGCAACACGTATTTTTAAGTTAAAAATTTACGTTTAGCACTATAATTAAAAATAGTACAATTCAGCCTTAGTTTAGAAAGGTCATCATTATTATTAAATTAAACTGATTTGTTTTTATTATAACATTGCCATCAACTCGATTTCCTTCAGCATATATGTGCATATGTAAATATGTATATTCAAGCGAGTTACTACTAAAAACACATAAAATCCTTTCTAAACTAAGATATGTATGTTAATATTTATTTTCAAAGTTTTTTTGCTTTACTATTTATTAATTATTTGAAAAGCGCTTTAAATGAATTGTCTGCAATAAGGGCAACATATTTTATTAAAGGTATTATTTTCTCTATATGTATGTCTTATACTGTTTTATATTACTGTTTAGCTCTTTTCTAAGCGATCCATGCATGTGCATAATGCTGGTTGAAAGTTTATTTTAAATGAGTAACTTTTATATGTTAAACGGAAAAAGTGACTATTAAAACAAGTTCTCTACATGTCCTTTCTATTTATCTTACTTTCAAGTTCCTTTCATGTTTCAGTCTTGTTCGTGTATAGTACCAGCAATTTGTATTGGAAACAAATACGAATTTATGTATTTTATTATGTAAAAATAAAATCATATATATATATATATAAAACGATTTCAAAAGCCGAATTAAAAGAAATAATGCTTTTGACGTGGTTTTCATATGTTATATATGTTTAGGAAAGTATCCGGATAGTTTAACATTTTTTTTACTTTACTTTTACATTGAAGTTGAGTGGTATTTAGCTTTTTTTGCTTTAACTCTCCCTAAAAAGAAATAGTTCTAATCGGAGCTATTCGTCGCCGCATAGAATAAAAGTAACTTAAATGCATATTTCTGCGAGTGATAGATATAATTAGAGGAAGCCTATCATTTACATTCAGTTGGTCAAGTTCTCTACCCTATTACTAACCATTAGACCACCACCAACTGCACTCATTATATTATTGCCGGCATTATTTACCGAGCCACCATTATTGTTTATTAAACCAGGGTTACCTTCACTTTCGCTTTTCCACGATGATACCGGAATATGTGGTGCCGGCAAGCAGTTGCGTAAGGTTTGGACAATCTGAATGGTATCCAAAAGTGCTGTATTCAGAAAATATATATACATAAGTTTATATATTTATTGCAAACTATAGTCCATTCTAAATACTTACTTTTTTGTAAGCTTTCACTCTGCTTACCATACGGTTTACACATGGATGGGCGTATATAGGTCTTCATGCGTGCCATGTTGCGCATAAGTTCGGCGAAAATTCGTACGATTTTATCTTGGCCAACCGGTAGGGGATCACGAGTATTCTCTGGCACTGTCCAGGCGCCATTGTGCAATGCCAACAAATCTTTATTTGATTCGATCGAGTCCAAATTAGAGCTGGAATCAAAAAAGAAATTAAAATATGTTATTATGCAATTACAATTCTTTTACTTTATATTTTACCCACCGCAATAATTCTACATTTTTCTGCACCATTTGTTCAGTTGAGTGCGATGAAGATGATGATGAAGAATGACTTGAGTGAGCACTTGGCGATTGTGAAGGTGGTGGCAATTGATGATTATGATGAGCATTGTTGTTACTGGTGCTGCCACTTCCGCTTACGCCAATCATCATATTATTGTTGTTAGAGTTACTTATAATATTATGGTTTACGCTGTTATTGTTGCTATTGTTACCGCTACCACTGCTGAGGTTACTAGCTGTCGACGGCAAAACAGATGCACCACTTAAATTTCCACCAAGACTGCTTGAGACATTGCCACTACTTCCGCTCCCAGTCATGTTACTGTTCCCACTGCTTCCGGTAATTGGAGGACCACATGGTCCAGTGGATGCTGGTGGCACCATAGCTGAGTTACCAGCTGCTTGTGCAGCTGCTGCAGCAATAGCGGCCACTCTGAAATCGTTTATGCCTTGCATTTGAAGATTAGCAGCTGCTGCAGCCACGGCCATTGGATCGAAATGTTTGGGATCTAATTGCTGGAGTACACGTTGTTTCTCCAATGCACTCAAATTATTGAATTTCTCCAAGCTTTGCTGTGCTAAAGCTCGACTTTGTTGCTGCTGCAGTAATGCTGCTGTTAATTGCTGTTGCTGTTGTTGCTGTGCTACCGCTGCTGCTTGGGCCTGTGCCTGAGCTTGTGCCTGTTGTTGTTGCTGCTGTTGTTTAGCGGCAGCTGCTGCAGCAGCGGCGGCTGCGGCTGCTTGTTGTTGCTGCTGCTGATGGTGAGCTGCAGCCGCTGCAGCAGCACTGAGTTGGGATAATTGTGATTGAATACTGTTTTGTTGCTGCTTTGTAAGCATTTGCAACTGGGATGGCACCACCGACACTTTGCCTGTTGGCGTATGCGAAGATGTTGAATTCTTTGTTAAGTCGACTTCCCCGCCAGCACCAGCTGAACTTCCAGCGGAATTAACAATATTACCACTACCTCCGCCAGAGGATGCAGAACCAACTGATGAAACGCCACTACTCGATGATCCTGTAACCAATGGATGTGGGGGTGGCGGAGGTAAATGTGGCATATGCTGGAGGAAATCTGCATGATTTACTCCTGGATATTGCTGTTCCATGAATGGCATTGGCGACAAGCCCATATGATTCTTATAATAACGGCATGCAGGGCTGGGACAGGACTGCACTACCTCAATAATGAACTCTTTCTCCATTCCGAAATTTTCACGACCAATTGTGTAAGATTCAATCACTGCACGTACCGTAGCTTCCACACTCAAGTGTAGTCCATGTGGACCAGACATGTGCTTTAGCATTACAGCATTAGCAAAATGTTCAAAGGGAAGAACTATTTTACCATTTTCACGCAATATTAAACGGCCTTGTGTATCCAGAGTCAGACGGTTGGCAAGAACTCTAAATATATGTAGTTACAATACAGTAGAATAATTAAAATAGTTTCGCAAATTAAATTTTATTTTGTTGACTACTTACTGTAAATAAGCCGCACTAGGTAACATTGCATTGTCTTTTAGATCAGTAAAACACTGCAACAATTCTGCACTTGGATTCCATCCTTTGTTTTGCAAGTACAACTGAAGCAGCATATAAAGTTTCTCTGTTACATATCCAACACCAGGAATACCAGCGCCACCGCCTTGTAGATCACTATGCGAAACGGCCGCGCCCATTCCGTGAGTACCGCTGCTACCAACAGCACCGCCGGAGCCACCACCACCACCGCCCAGACCTCCTACTCCGACACCGCCTGGACCTTTTGAAAGCGCTGCTTTCATTGTTTCCGATAAGTCTAGCTTATAATTTTCTGGATAAAAGTTTTTAACGTGATCCTAAAAATTAATTGGTTGCACAAAAATTAAGTTTCGCAATTTTATGTTTGTATATCAAAGCAAACTTACCAAGTTATTCATTTCGAAACTTTCGTAGCAATATATTATACACCACGAAGTACTTTTTGTGGAGACTTTAACCTTTTCCTATTCGTTTTTAAATCACTTAAAAGGAAACTGTTATTTTATGTATATATTTGACAAAAAAAAAACAAAATTTCACCGTAATTTTCTGGTAAGAAAACTTTAACTTGCTTCAAATATTCCTATCGGATTTTCTTTCAATTCGTTCATATTCCTTTCAGGATTTCTTTTTAAATAATGTTCGCGAATAAGAGTTGATAAGAAAATCAACCAGAAATCCTTTTTTCTCTGTCCTTTTTATTAGGTTTTGTTTACTTTCTTCACATTCGTAAATTCTAGGGTTGCATTTCAATAAGAAAAAGTAGTATTAAAAATGTTTTTACCATCTGTGTTCTCTGCAGTACTAAGATTGGTGACAGCCCCTTGGAAAAAGAAAAAGTCAGGAAAAAAAATTTCCCCAACTCTGCAGAAATAAGAATTACAGTGCGTGACTGCACCCGATTAACTGCAATTTGGTTTCTGAAATAAAATTTCCCAATGCTAGCGCTTGACCAGCTATTTTTATATCTTTTCTTTCATTAATTCTTGTCTGACTGCATCTTTATGAACTTTTCGAACGATAACGGCTACAATAGTTTATCGATATTCGATATAAAAGCTGTTTATTTAATCAGTTACATTTGAATCCGTTCATTTAATAAAAAGCGTTGTGCTGACAAGTTTTTAATGAAATTGGCAATTATATGCAATTTTTATTTATTTAATTATATTCAAAAATTATTGTAAAGCAACTATGCTGAATTTCTACAAGATTTACAGCCGTTAAACCATAACATAAAAACATTTTTTTCTAAAAGCCCTCTGAAATTATGAATATTTTTGTAAAACTTGCTTTGCAATAAATTATCGATTAAATTTTCAGGGCTTCTTGCCTCACCGAAGGCGGTTCGCCGAAATTTAGTAACAATTGTTACTGCCCATCAGGTCTTTGAACAGGTCTTATAACTACCGGTAACGGTAATTATGAAATGAAAAAAATTCACATTACTAGAGTAAGTATGAGATGTCAGATTTGTCAAAATTAAAAAAAAAACCTTAAGTTTGAGTGAAAATGAGAAAAAAATTGTCATCTTATTTGAGGTAAGAGGTGAAAACCGGGTAATAACCCCATCGACATCTTAAGTGACGTTTCATTATACAGTACTCTAAAAGGCTAAAAACACGTCCAACGTCTTGAGAACAGCAAGAATTTATATGTATATTAAGTACCGTTCTTAAATAAAACGACAAGTTATGTAGTTTAGAATTTTTAGGCATTTACTTATAATTCCGCTGTGTTGCCTCATCGTTTTCGATATTTATTAAAAAGCATTGTAATTTCTCATGTAACGTAAAATAGTATATCAAAGATATATGTGTATTTTATGTACACGCTATTGTATTATATTTAAATTGTCTTTTTTCATTACAACTTACATGGAATGTAAGTACTCATACACATGTACATACATTTGTATATCTATATTAAAAACATATATTACGTTTGAATTTTCGTTTCATTTCATAAAGAAACTTACTTTTCCGTATTTAATACATTTACGAGCATCTATTAATCGAAATACATCGATTCTTTGAACACTTATATATATATACATACATATACATATATACTTAAAATCTAATTAGCAGGAATATTTCGTGTTAACAGTTGGCAATTTTTCTTAAGTAATTCAGCGAAGGCAAGTTATGCTTGCTTTAATATAAGTGTTATCAAATATTTATATTTATATACTCATTTATAAAAAGTGGACAGACTCGTTGTTAAATATTTTGATTATTATTAAAAGCTAAATTAACTCGCTTAACTTTTTAGTATAAAACATCCTTTTTCTACTTTATTTCATTAAGAAATTGTGCAATCGCAGCACATCAAAGTGTAGTAGAGACATTTTACTACGTTTTCATCTTCGTCCTTTCCTTCATCTTTGACATTTTGTTTGCTCGGTACACCGTCAAGTTGGTCTAACTCCTTTGTTGTTGAGATCTTCTTCTTCTTTTTCTTATTCTTTTTGTTTAAAAGCTCTTTGCTATTGCGTTCCAGAATCAACTCATCGATCCATTCAAGATCATTACTGGGAATTTTAGCGGTATCTGATATACTTTCAATGGAGTCGATATCATTCTGAAAAAGTTAATGTTAAATGTGTTGTAATTAGTAAATTTTTTTAAGCATAATCTACAGATATAATAAATATGAAAGCAAATAGGATTTTCCCACATTTTAAATATTTAGAGATTGTGGTTTGAAATTGAAAAAATGGGCAAACTCTATTAAAAAAAGAAGGAATATAATATCGAATTGTATTACAATATAATAATGAATATTATAAGCAATTAATGTTTTAATATAAAAAATCAATAACTTAAATTAAAAAATTGTTCTTAAATTTTCCATAAGGAAAATTCTGATATTTGCATTAAAAGATGGAAAAAGGTTTCGACGGATTTTTTAAATACCAACACTAGCTGATATGAATGTTCTATAGAAAACGCAGAGTTGACCCGCTACTAAAACTGGGAATCCAGCCAATGAAAACTAATCATATAGACCGATATCCCTTCTCTCGTTGGTAACGAAGATACTGAGCGCAGTAGGGCAAGCACAGCACCACCACTCCACTAAACGTTATAAATACAAAGATAACTCATGGATTCATTCATGGCTAAGATCGATCTACTGGGCAGTCATCAGAATTATGAGGCTATATCAAAAAAGTTAAAAAAAAAGAAAATTGTTCTTCAGGGCCTTCTCCCCCTCCGACCAATTCGACCGATCTGTTGTAGGTAATAGGGAAACGTAGAAGACGAAGCTACAAGCCTGTCAAAACACCGCCTTTGCAACCATAACGAGGAATCTATGCACCACTTACACAGTGAAACTCCTATTATCCACGTAAAAGAGTATAATGTTATGTTGTGTAAGCAATCTGTATCTACTAGGGCAAGCCTTTACCTAGGGTTATCAAGAAGGGAGTACTCCACGTAACGGAGTCCATTTATCACAACACACCGCAACTGCTACTTAGGTACTCAGTAATTCATCCGCCAATAGTTCCCGCGGCAGTAGGTTCTTTATACAAGTACGAGCCAGCTTTTTTTTCGTCCAAGGACTGTCACTCGTGCAATATTATAGAATGGGCTCTTTGTAACCGCTCAAGTGATTTTTGAATAGTGCCCCTTCCAATTTGCGGTAGCGCTTTGAGGTTTTCCAACAAAAAGAGAAGCCTATAGTTTATTCTAAGATTCTCCGAATCGCAGATGGACTTTTATGATTAGCTTTTTATTTCATGTCAGAAATGCACTCGGAATACATTCCGTGCCCAGAGGCGACCTTAATAAAAAAAAATTAATTTATTCCGGATCTTGGACGAACTAGAACTCGAACACTGGTCTTCAGAATGGTTGCACGCAAAGCTTTTGTGGCCGCCAATATTCCTAGAGAACCGATAGAAACAGCCCGCCATACGGATCGGAATTAAAAGTCATTCACAGAGAGTCCCATGAAGGCGTGCTCGGAAGCCAGCCATCACCTCTGGCAGACGAAAGGATCCAGCCACCTAGTGAAGCCCAAGTAATATGGCACAATTAATGTTTAAATACTGTAGTAAACTTAACCATATAGACCCATCTGACTTGACCCCGACATACTTATGCTTTAAGTATGTATTAAGTTCTTGATGCTTAGTGTACTTTTACCACCAACTAAAACATACTCATCTAACACCCCTCTTTCTATGCTCTGAACACGGCGAACAGCTTATTTCTGGGACTTTTATGTCAGAAATAAATTCGGTGAGGCCGAGGAATAATTTTTTTTTATGTTGAACTGATCAGGCGTTTGATTACTTGACCCCTCGGCAGGGTAGCTCAAGTTGTTTAATCTTGCGCTAATGCGGCTGCTGAATATAATAATATCTAATATCCAACACAGTCATTACCTGATGTTTATCATTTTTGTGGTTATTCTTCTTCTTAGAGGACAAACTAGTCGTGGAATCCCGTTCATTATGTTGTTTAGGCGTATTAGAGGGTGACGGTGTAGTTGCTGTTGAAGTTGTCGTACCAGCCGATGCATTCAAGAGCGTACCGGTCGCACCCTCAGGACTACCGATGCCATTTTTAGGAGGTGATGGTAAATCGTACACATCGAACTCGTTCGAGATATCTTTACCCAAAATAGTGAAACGGTTTTCCTATGGAAAAGAAAGAAAAGAAATATATATGTAAAAAAAAGTTGCTTAAAAAAATATAACCAAAATATACATCTATTATTTCAGCTGTTGTTGTTGTAACGACATGCGCATATGTGGTTTTGGACGGCATGTTGGCGTCTGCGCTGCCAGCTGCTTTACTTTCCTCCGTTGTTGTAACAATTATTTTCGGCGTTGCACCAGTATCGGGACTATTTGGCACAGACACTAGCGGCGTGGTGGATGTGCTACTGTTAGGCGTTCCTGCCGCTTTATTAGCATCGGCATCAGCGCTGTTGTTGCTGCTGTGGCTGTTTTCGGTTGTTGAGATGGCTTTTGCGGGTGTAGTTGTTGACAAGTTGTCGGTACATTTCTCTGCGCCCAAAGCGCCGAGAGTACAAGCAGCTGATGTTATGCCAGAAACAGAAGGGCCGTCAAAAAGATTATTATCAGGATCACTAAAAGGTGAGGGGGGAGAGAAGATGCATATGGAGGAAACTGTTAATTGTAGTTATATGTATGTATGTATGTAAAAAAAGTAAAATAAATGATGCATTAAAATCAAATCACCAAACCTTTTAGGCGTGCGTTCATGGTAATAATGGACATATGTACATATGTAAGTAAAATAGATGAAATATTTATAAATGATCTAGTTAAAAGTAATCCATTATTTTGAGCTCGGTAGTGTTTGAGCGCATGTCAGAGATGGACACCAAGACAAAAGGGGAAAAAGGCTACATAATTCAATTTTTCTTCGATAATGTAGAAAACGCAAGTCGTGCAGCTGAAGTTGCCTCATGGTGAGGAAGGCGAGTTGTCGAAAACGTTGATATAATAATGGAATTCGTCGGATCTGGTCGTCATGTGAGCACTATTTCGATTGCTAAAAAATTGTGCAAAAAAACAGTTCTGAACTACTTGAAAAACGCTGGATACAAGAGAAAAAAAATTTCATGAACCGAATTTCCATCTGCGAACCGTTGCTGAATCGTAACAAAATCGACCCAATTGGATAACTTACAGCGACGTCGAACGGAAACGGTAAACCAGCCGTTCCAAGCCAAGATTGAAGACCAACAAGGTTATGTGTTATGTTTTTGTTGAGATTGGCAAAGAATCATTCACTATGACATGCCTCCCTGCGCCGAAACATTTAATTCGGACTGCACTGTCGACAATTGAACCGTCTGAAGAAATCAATTGCCCAGAAGCGCCCAGCTCTGCCTAGCAAGAGAAGAATTGGGTTTCATAAGGACGACGCCGGACCACACACATCGATTTTTACTCGCCAGAAACTCTGAGAGCTTAGTTGGGAGGTTCCTCTTATGACGAATGATGCGGCTAGTGAGGAATGAGCGTCAAGCGAACCCAGTCGAAATCGACTGTCAGAATTTTTTTTCCAACAGGGACAAGGTTTTCTATGAGGGCGTAATAATGGCATTACCTTCAAAATGGTAAAAAGTTGGCGTGGAAAAGAGTTCATATTTAACATTAACCGGATTGGATTGCGCCTTCAATTTAATGCAAAAATAATGGATTACTTTTTGCTAGATCATGTGTGTGTTTGTAAATACAGGTCATATATTTGTATGAACGCATTTAATCTTCTATGGCAGTAGGTACATATAAATATTTTTAAAATGCGTGCATTTAACTGCATAACGATTGTAAGTACTTAAGTATGTATGTACATATGTATCTATACATATATGTATGTGCAGTGAAATGTATGACAAATGTTGAATTTTTATGAATGTATGGGCGATCCGTTCACAAACATGCCGCGGAAAGTTAAGGTAAAATGATGATGTCACAAATATCAAATGGCAAGGTACGATTTATGTAGGTATGTATGTATGTATATATATAGTTTTGTTTATGCACAATTCTCTAACCGTTGATTTCGTAAATATTCCTACAAAACTGAACAAATGTAAGTTTCATTTGACATTTTTACTTTTTCTCTTCAAATTATGTATATATGTATGTACACATACATATAACCACACACGAGTATTTATATTAATATGATTTTAATAAAAAAATCAGCATGAATAATTCATTCTTTGACCAATTCACTTTTCCGAACAATGACTAATCAGTTTGTCGTTTGGTCGGTTTAATGGTTTTAAGCACTCAGATTTTGGTTTTGGTATTTTAGGTTTGTCTTTGTTGTCGTTGCACTTTTTAAACACCTCGAGCTAATCAAAGCTTGTAAATACCAGCAGAAGAGGCAAATTAAGCGAATAAAATAACACTGAAAGATGCTCAACATCTTTGGCGTCCGCGGCGTTAATGTTGCGCAGTTAAATGCAAAATTCGTAATCCGGAAAATCTCACGCCAAATATGAGTCCGTAATTAACTACGTATGTATGTATGTACTTGGTACACCAACGCAAGCTGGCAACATTAAGCACCTTCCTCTCACACAATTTGTTTAGTGAACAGCTGAGGTTGAACAGCGGAGATTGTCTCGGCGCTGTGTGCACTCGACTCACTTTCGAAGTGGCGAAGCTCAAATAACGTGTATGCGGCGGGTGCCAATATGCTTTAGGTTCAATTATTGGCAGCGTGAGCGTGTAGCGATTCCAGTGAGCTTAAGTCAGAAAAAGTATTTTCGTTTTGTTCCACAGCTTGGAAGGAGAAACATTGGATTATTAAACAATCTTTGTTTATACGCTAGTCGGAGCGCGTATTGTAAACAAAAACAATAATTGTCTCGGTATAAGCAAAAGTATTTCGATTGCGACTTTTGTTTTCAATAAAACGTGCATAGGAAATTATGCTTGCGAGTATAATTGAATTAAGTCAGCGACTTAAGTGCGAAATCTCATCAATGTACTAAGTACTCGATTTCTTGATATGTACGAGTATGCATATAAAGGGTGTTTTCTTTTAGACGCGTGGTTTTCAATGAGGCAATACTGTTTTTCGGAGCTGGTCTTTGCGACAGCTGTTGCTTGATTTAGTATACACATATATTAGATGTATTGTAGTAAAAAGAAATCCATTATGTTTGTATGAAACTGAAAGCTTTACATTTTTTTTTCGTTTCCAGCCTCATTCAAATATTGGATGAGTGCATAAGTTCGTGCCCGATTTCAAGTGCAAACTAAAATTGAAATTTTTTGAAGAAAGCGCTTTTATTAATCAATTATGTATTCGCCATCATGTTTGGCTATCCACTCCCAACGTTCAACCAATTTACGGATGCCTGATTCATAGAAATCGCGCGGTTTCTCGTTGAAAAAGGTGTCAAGGTGGTTTTTGACGTCTTCCACATTTTTAAATTTTTTTCCATAAAAATTGTTCTGCAGCGATCGAAACAAATGATAATCAGAAGGTGCAATGTCGGGTGAATATGGGGGATGCGGCATGATTTCCCAATTCATCTCCTTCAGTTTGGCCAGGGTCGGTTTTGCAACACGTGGCCTGCCGTTGTCATGATGGAAAAGAACTCCTTTGCGATTGGCCAAAATCGGACGTTTTTCATCAATTGCTTTCTTCAATTCGACCAATTGCTGACAATACTTGTTTTCAGTGATCGTTTCTCCAGCTGGCAAGAGTTCAAAATAGATCACGCCTCGGATATCCCACCAAATGCCCAGCAGTACCTTCATCGGATGCAATCCACCTTTCAACATCGGTTCCGCCCCTTCGTGTGCCTGTTTCCATGTTTTTTTGAGTTGAACTTTGTTGTACAGGATCCATTTTTTATCACCAGTCACGAGCCGATCCAAAAAAGTTCGTTTTTGATCCGTCGAAGCAAAGAAATTGCTGTTGACATACGGTCCATTTTGTTTTTTTCACTCAACTGATGTGGCACCCATGTATCGAGCTTCAAAGTGTACCCAACCTTTTTTAAACGACGAAACGCAGTTGATTTGTTGACGTTCAATTCACTGGCAACCTATTCCGTCGAAATACGTGAGTTATTCGCAACTAAAGTCCTTAGAACATCGTCATCAAGCTCAGAAGGCCGTCCACTGCGAGGTTGATCTTCGAGGTTAAAATCTTCAGAACGAAATTTCGCGAACATTTTCTTTACTGTGCGGAGTGCTGGAGCACGGTCCAAATAAACTTCGCGAATATCTTTAGTTGCAGCGCCTACTGTTTTTCCTTTGCGGAATTCGTATAATATAATATGACGCATATGATCTTTTTCGTTGTCCACCTTCCATGCGTCTTTTCACTAAGCAACTCAAATCAAAATGAAGTTATTTTATGCTTGATTTACAGTTCGGACTGTCACCTTTCCAACGATATATAATATGTATATATTTCTTTCACGAGCGTCACTCTCAAACGATTCGAACGGCATCCAGCGGAATCGGGCACGAACTTATGCACTCATACAATAGTTCCAAAGGGTTTTTTGTGCAATCAATTTGAGCAATTGAAACAGTGCTTACATGACGGTCGGACTCGACAATTTCCATGATTTTAATGACATTTCCGACGATTGGCCTTCCAATCCGTGAAGCATCTTTCACATCAAAATTATCGGACCATAAACGTTATTCACATTCGAAGAAAATCTGTAAAATATAGGGTATTTTCTTTTTTCTAGTGTCCATTTTGACACAATCTAAACTGAATCAACCAAACACACCCCGCAAAGTCGGCAATTCGAGCAGTCATAGATCGATTTCGCACCAAATTTACCCCTCAGAGACGCTGTACAGTGCACACCGAAAGCACTACTGCTGCTGAGGAGCAGAATTGCGCAGATGAGTCGAATGAGTCCTTGAGTCATCACGTGCAACAATTAGAACAGAGCCCATTCGCTGCATGGACTATTATGCGGAGGAGTCTTCGTTTGCAGGCTTACAAAATCCAACTCTTGTAAGAATTTAAGTCGAAAGACCATCAAGTGCGTCGTACGTTCTTTGAGTGGATCCCGAATTAGATGTCCATCGATCGCCAGATTTCGCCAGACACATTTTTTGAGCTATAAAGCTAACTTTTGGTGGAATGCGTAGGTTAATAGATTTTTCGTTATTTGAGTGATGATAGTGCACAAGTCCATTGTTAAATCCTCTAAGGACAGATGTGTCTAAACAACAGCTTTTGCGATTATTAAAATATATGCTGATTTTTCTTATTCTTTGCAATTTTGCTCCAATCGAACCAAGCGTAGAATCGAAGTTATATATACTCCCTCTTTGACTCTGCGATCGCCTGCCAATTTTGAAACGATTAGAGCAGGCATAGTTGGCACTACTGAGGAACGCTAATGTTGGCTTGGCGTCGCCAATACTCATGAGCTGCATGCCTCGTCTCAATAACTTTCAGGACTCTGCTACCAACGATATTGTGAGTACAAGTGAGCGACTGTAGGAATGGCATCTGACTGAAGATCTAGATAATCTGCATCAAAGAGAAAGAAGAACTCATTGCGCGGTTGTAGAATCCGTTGATGTAAATATCGCGTATTATTTTCTCCAATAATAA